ATACCCGAACCACGGTGTGGCTGTGTTGGTGTAGCATTATACCCGAACCACAACCTGGATGCACAGGTGTAGAATTATACCCGATCTATGGCCTGGCTGTGCTAGTGTAGCATTATACCGGAACTAAGGTCTGGCTGTGCTGGTGTAGCATTATACCCGAACCACGATCTGGCTGTGCTGGTGTAGCATTATACCCGAACCACCGTCTGGCTGTGCTGGTGTAGCATTATACCCGAACCACGGTCTGGCTGTGTTGGTTAAGCATTATACGCGAACCACGGCCTGGCTGTGTTGGTGTAACATTATACCCGAACTACGACCTGGCTGTGCTGGTGTAGCATTATACCCGAACCACGGTCTGGCTGTGCTGGTGTAGAATTATACACCAACCACGGTCTGGCTGTGCTGGTGTAACACTATACCCGAACCACGGTCTGGCTGTGCTGGTGTAGCATTATACCCGAACCACGGTCTGGCTGTGCTGGTGTAGCATTATACCCGAACCATGGTCTGGCTGTGCTGGTGTAGCATTATACCCGAACCACGGTCTGGCTGTGCTGGTGTAGCATTAAACCAAAACCACGACCTGGCTGTGCTGGTGTAGCATTAAACCCTAATCACGGACTGGCTGTGTTTGTGTAGCATTATACCCGAACCACGGTCTGGCTGTGCTGGTGTAACATTATACCCGAACCACGGTCTGACTGTACTGGTGTAGCATTATACCCGAACCACGGTCTGACTGTGCTGGTGTAACATTATACCCGAACTACGGTCTGACTGTGCTGGTGTAGCATTATACCCGAACCACGGGCTGGCTGTGCTGGTGTAGCATTATACCCGAACCACTGCCTGGCTGTGCTGGTGTAGCATTATACCCGAGCCACGACCTGGCTGTTCTGGTGTAGCATTATACCCGAACTACGACCTGGCTGTGCTGGTGTAGCATTATACCCGAACCACGGTCTGGCTGTGCTGGTGTAGCATTATACCCCAACTACGACCTGGCTGTGCTGGTGTAGCATTATACCCGAACCACGGTCTGACTGTGCTGGTGTAGCATTATACCCGAACTACGACCTGGCTGTGCTGGTGTAGCATTATACCCGAACCACTGCCTGGCTGTGCTGGTGTAGCATTATACCCGAACCACGACCTGGCTGTGCTGGTGTACCATTATACCCGAACCACGGTCTGACTGTGCTGGTGTAGCATTATACCCGAACTACGACCTGGCTGTGCTGGTGTAGCATTATACCCGAACCACTGCCTGGCTGTGCTGGTGTAGCATTATACCCGAACCACGACCTGGCTGTTCTGGTGTAGCATTATACCCCAACAACGGTTTGGCTGTGCTGGTGTAGCATTATACCCGAACAACGGTCTGGCTGTGCTGGTGTAGCATTATACCCGAACCACGGTCTGGTTGTGTTGGTGTAGCATTATACCCGAACCACGGTCTGACTGTGCTGGTGTAACATTATACCCGAAATACGGTCTGCCTGTGCTGGTGTTACATTATACCCGAACCACAGTCTGACTGTGCTGTTGTTACATTATGCACGAACCACGGTCTGGTTGTGCTGGTGTAGCATTATACCCGAACTACGGTCTGGCTGTGCTGGTGTTACATTATACCCGAACCACAGTCTGGCTGCTGGTGTAACATTATACCCGAACCACGGTCTGGCGGTGCTGGTGTAGCATTATACCCGAACTACGGTCTGACTGTGCTGGTGTTACATTATACCCGAACCACGGTCTGGCTGCTGGTGTAACATTATACCCGAACCACGGTCTGGCTGCTGGTGTAACATTATACCCGAACCACGGTCTGACTGTACTGGTGCAGCATTATACCCGAACCACGGTCTGGCTGTGCTGGTGTAACATTATACCCGAACTACGGTCTGACTGTGCTGGTGTTACATTATACCCGAACCACTGCCTGGCTGTGCTGGTGTAGCATTATACCCGAACCACGACCTGGCTGTGCTGGTGTACCATTATACCCGAACCACGGTCTGACTGTGCTGGTGTAGCATTATACCCGAACTACGACCTGGCTGTGCTGGTGTAGCATTATACCCGAACCACTGCCTGGCTGTGCTGGTGTAGCATTATACCCGAACCACGACCTGGCTGTTCTGGTGTAGCATTATACCCCAACAACGGTTTGGCTGTGCTGGTGTAGCATTATACCCGAACAACGGTCTGGCTGTGCTGGTGTAGCATTATACCCGAACCACGGTCTGGTTGTGTTGGTGTAGCATTATACCCGAACCACGGTCTGACTGTGCTGGTGTAACATTATACCCGAAATACGGTCTGCCTGTGCTGGTGTTACATTATACCCGAACCACAGTCTGACTGTGCTGTTGTTACATTATGCACGAACCACGGTCTGGTTGTGCTGGTGTAGCATTATACCCGAACTACGGTCTGGCTGTGCTGGTGTTACATTATACCCGAACCACAGTCTGGCTGCTGGTGTAACATTATACCCGAACCACGGTCTGGCGGTGCTGGTGTAGCATTATACCCGAACTACGGTCTGACTGTGCTGGTGTTACATTATACCCGAACCCGCGGTCTGGCTGCTGGTGTAACATTATACCCGAACCACGGTCTGGCTGCTGGTGTAACATTATACCCGAACCACGGTCTGACTGTACTGGTGCAGCATTATACCCGAACCACGGTCTGGCTGTGCTGGTGTAACATTATACCCGAACTACGGTCTGACTGTGCTGGTGTTACATTATACCCGAACCACGGTCTGACTGTGCTGGTGTAACATTATACCCGAACTACAGTCTGGCTGTGCTGGTGTTACATTATACCCGAACCACGGTCTGACTGTGCTGGTGTAACATTATACCCGAACTACAGTCTGGCTGTGCTGGTGTTACATTATACCCGAACCACGGTCTGGCTGCTGGTGTAACATTATATCCGAACCACGGTCTGGCGGTGCTGGTGTAGCATTATACCCGAACTGCGGTCTGACTGTGCTGGTGTTACATTATACCCGAACCACGGTCTGGCTGCTGGTGTAACATTATACCCGAACCACGGTCTGGCTGCTGGTGTAACATTATACCCGAACCACGGTCTGGCTGTACTGGTGCAGCATTATACCCGAACCACGGTCTGACTGTGCTGGTGTAACATTATACCCGAACTACAGTCTGGCTGTGCTGGTGTTACATTATACCCGAACCACGGTCTGACTGTGCTGGTGTTACATTATACCCGAACCACGGTCTGACTGTGCTGGTGTAACATTATACCCGAACTACAGTCTGGCTGTGCTGGTGTTACATTATACCCGAACCACGGTCTGACTGTGCTGGTGTAACATTATACCCGAACTACAGTCTGGCTGTGCTGGTGTTACATTATACCCGAACCACGGTCTGACTGTGCTGGTGTAACATTATACCCGAACTACAGTCTGGCTGTGCTGGTGTTACATTATACCCGAACTACGGTCTGACTGTGCTGGTGTTACATTATACCCGAACCACGGTCTGACTGTGCTGGTGTAACATTATACCCGAACTACAGTCTGGCTGTGCTGGTGTTACATTATACCCGAACCACGGTCTGACTGTGCTGGTGTAACATTATACCCGAACTACAGTCTGGCTGTGCTGGTGTTACATTATACCCGAACCACGGTCTGGCTGCTGGTGTAACATTATATCCGAACCACGGTCTGGCGGTGCTGGTGTAGCATTATACCCGAACTGCGGTCTGACTGTGCTGGTGTTACATTATACCCGAACCACGGTCTGGCTGCTGGTGTAACATTATACCCGAACCACGGTCTGGCTGCTGGTGTAACATTATACCCGAACCACGGTCTGACTGTGCTGGTGTAACATTATACCCGAACTACAGTCTGACTGTGCTGGTGTTACATTATACCCAAACCACGGTCTGACTGTGCTGGTGTAACATTATACCCGAACTACGGTCTGACTGTGCTGGTGTTACATTATACCTGAGCCACGGTCTGGTTGTGCTGGTGTAGCATTATACCCGAACTACGGTCTGACTGTGCTGGTGTTACATTATACCCGAACCACGGTCTGGCTGTGATGGTGTAACATTATACCCGAACCACGGTCTGGCGGTGCTGGTGTAGCATTATACACGAACCACGGTCTGGCTTTGATGGTGTAGCATTATACCCTGACCACGGTCTGACTGTGCTGGTGTAGCATTATACACGAACCACGGTCTGGCGGTGCTGGTGTAGCATTATACCCGAACTACTCTCTGACTGTGCTGGTGTTACATTATACCCGAACCACGGTCTGGCTGCTGGTGTAACATTATACCCGAACCACGGTCTGGCTGCTGGTGTAACATTATACCCGAACCACCGTCTGACTGTACTGGTGCAGCATTATACCCGAAGCACGGTCTGACTGTGCTAGTGTAACATTATACCCGAACTACGGTCTGACTGTGCTGGTGTTACATTATACCCGAACCGCGGTCTGACTGTGCTGGTGTAACATTATACCCGAACTACGGTCTGACTGTGCTGGTGTTACATTATACTCGAGCCACGGTCTGGTTGTGCTGGTGTAGCATTATACCCGAACTACGGTCTGACTGTGCTGGTGTTACATTATACCCGAACCACGGTCTGGCTGTGATGGTGTAGCATTATACCCGAACCACGGTCTGACTGTGCTGGTGTAGCATTATACACGAACCACGGTCTGGCTTTGATGGTGTAGCATTATACCCTGACCACGGTCTGGCTGTGATGGTGTAGCATTATACCCGAACCATGGTCTGGCTGTGCTGGTGTGCCGTGATATTATTGGAATATTGCTAAAAGCTGCTTAAAACTAAACTCTCTCACGCAGTTACTTACTGTAAAACCGAAACCTGCTCAATAATAATAAACTTATTCAGTCACTGCATACCGAACTGTTTTAAGTCCCCAAATTATGCACCTGTGTTCTGATACAACGAAATTAAGATATATATATTTTATTAATGCTTTCAGCAAAATACACGGTGACGAGCATATTAAAGGACTTTCACATTATCCGAAGACAACATTAATCAAAGAACTGCTAATAGTAAGGCCCACATGAGGATGTCTGCACGGCTCTCTTGAGTTCTGACATTTATTTTGTTGAGATGAAGAAGTCTTCGGAAAACTGCTGACTCAGCTCCGTCAAGCAGGTTTGTTAACTGGCGCTGAAAGACATATTTTTATGTTAATAAATTCTCCCATCTCTTGAAACAAGTCATAACACTGATTATAAGGTAATATTCACATACGTTTTGGTTGTGGAGTTTGCGAGATTGGACCTTGCGGGCGTGGACGTGAAGGAGAAATGTGGGGAGACGTGCTTATTTTTAATCCACCTCCAGTTATGTCTGCAACAGAAAATAATTTTGATCGTGCAGGACACAGGTTCATACATAATTGTATTCTTTTCTTTCTGAAAATATTGAGTCAGTGGTCGAATGTATCTCTAACCTTTAACGTCACTATTAAAACGCGTCTTTGCTGTTTGTCTTCCACAAATCTTGTACATAACGAATTCTAGGATAACACGAAGGAACGTAACAACAGCTTTAATAGAACATAGAACACAGAACATATATGTTATATTAAGGATAACACTTTTTCGATAAATATGAAACTATCTTACAAATTCTAATACATTTGGAGGTGAGTCCCATCCGGGTTTCGAACCCACATTCTCAGAGAGAGGGAACAAATCCACAGTACACAAATTCAGAAAATGAAGTCAAACAACAGATAGCCAAGACCACGTGTTTTGTGTACCAATCTGACCATTATAAACGGACACGATACCAAATTTCCGAAATCAATGAATATACAATACAGTGCATTTTAGGATATTGTCAAATTAGCATGTATTATATTTGGAAATTATACTTTCTCAGTAAAGTACAAATTTTGATAGTTTGAGGGTGGAACCCCATTCGGGATTCGATCCCACACTCTCAGGGTGAGGCAGTAAAAAGGCTTGCATACTAGCATTTAGTTTTTCATTCATTTTGTCGTACATTTCAAGGTTACTTACACAGCAAGCACGATACGTTACTCCAGTGCACCATTGACTGCTATTACTATTTCGATCAAAGTTCAGTACGTAAGGGTATTCTGGGTCACAGCGACATACATTAACACCTGGAAACTGAAATGAAGAAGTCTTCGGAAAACTCCTGACTCAGCTACGTCATTTGAAAACAGATTTGTTAACTGGCGCTGAAAACATAAAAATATGAATCTTATTCTCCCATCTTTGTAACAAGTCATGACACTAATGATGAGGAATACTGTATTCACATACCTATTGGTGGTGGATTGTGTGGGCTTTGATATGAAGGGCTTGCTGCAACAGAAAATAATTTTGTTGGTGCAGGACAGGTTCATACATAATGTGTTGTATTCTTTTTCTACTGAAAATGTTGAGTCAGTGGTCGAAAGTATCTCTAACCTTTAACGTCGTTATTACAATACGTCTTTGCTCTTTGTCTTCTACAAATCTTGTACGTAACGATTTCCAGGATATCACGTAGCAGCGTTACAACAGTTGTAATAGAACACAGGACATATAGGTTATGTTTAGGATTACACTTTCTCAATACATATGAAACTATCTTACAAATTCTAATACATTTGGAGGTGAGTCCCATCCTGGTTTCGAACCCACATTCTCAGGGAGAGGGAACAAATCCACAGTACACAAATTCAGGGATCACATACACTCGGCGACCGAGGTTTTTTCAGAAAATAAAATCAAACAACAGATAGCCAAGACCACGTGTTTTGTGTACCAATCTGACAATTATAAACGGACACGATACCAATTTCCGAAATCAATGAATATACAATACAATGCATTTTAGGATATTGTCAAATTAGCATGTATTATATTTGGAAATTATACTTTCTCAGTAAAGTACAATTTTTGGTAGTTTGAGGGAGGAATCCCATTCGGGATTCGATCCCACACTCTCAAGGTGAGGCAGTAAAAGGCTTGCACACTAGCATTTAGTTTTTCATTCATTTTGTCGTACATTCAAAGGTTACTTACACAGACAGCACAATGCGTTACTCATATGTCAGTGCACCACTCACTGCTATCACTATTTTGATCAAAGTTCAGTGCGTTAAGGGTATTCCGGGTCACTGCGACATACACCTAGAATTGTAAACCTCAATGAATTTCTACTCTCATTGTGTTATTTTAAAGCCGTAACCTTTGTTCTTCAAGGTGATACCTAACACCGTGCCCTTGGCACAGTGGTAACTAATTCGGGACAGCCCTCTCAAATAACAATAGAGTCAACATGCTAACTTGCTAACAATCCATTTCACACAGAAACATTTCACCTATGACTGAATGATGTGTTAAAACTATCTACCCGGAAGATGCTGTTATCACTGCAATGTTTGGTTTTCGTAATCGAGACATCATTATAAATATCTTTCACGCATCTATTCAGTTAAACACGTGTTACTGTTTGACACAGCCCCAAACTTGCATTAATAACCAAACACTGCCTCGTTTTATCACGAATTCCCGGAAATGATTCGCAACTGTCGTAATGGCGGAGGATTTCGTTTAGGGCTGGGATGGGTCCAAACTTTCTACCCGGGTATCCCACCCCTCTATTACCCTACCCTACCCGGATACCCGTTATGCTAATTCCTGACATCAAATTTGTAAGAAATGGCAAAACATGTATATTCTTCAGCTCGGAGGCTAAAATGTCGAGTTTTTCAATATCTTAACCAAGTATTATAATACATTATTCAAAATAGGTGACTGTAAATTATGTCTAACTCATTTTTTATCATGAAAGAATAACATATTACATTGTTTAATCTATTAGTCACATGATCATAAAAGGTCCGGGTATTGAGATGGGTACCCGGGTCCAACTCATTACCCACCCGTCCCAGGTATCCGAGTTATCCGTCCCAGCCCTAGTTTCTTTTGTTAGTTTTCTCTAATAAATCAGAATCCTGTCGGTTTCTTATTTTGGTGTGAGTAACATGAAACATTGCTAAGACAGAAATTGCCCTTAGTCGCTTGACACACCTGTTTTGCGTAGGCTCATGCACTCTTTGTTTTGTTGGTGATCTAGCAATGCCTTATACATAATACATGGATGTTAGTTGTATAGCTGAAATACGATACAAAGCAAGGCTTTTTACGGAACGTATTAAATTAATCTCTTAAATACGCTTTTGAGTGCACACAGTATAATCCAGATATGTTGGAGTTTGCAGTGACATATATTCACTGAGATGGACTTATCCAGATCACATCGTATCAACCTACCCTTATCAGCCATCGTGACCTCAGCTCAGTCTTCCCAATCCGAGACGAATGAAAATCGAGCTCTGGACGCATGACGTCAGGGTCCATTCGTCCCTACTCGCCCCTTTCCGTACATTCGTCACCACTCGTCTTTTTTCGGCTTGTCCCGGAATACTAGTAACACGAATTGGTCACGTATGCATATAAAGGAACTTTTTCTATGGCATCGAAAGCTTTGATTTCCCAGATCTCATACAAAAGTATAAGGCATATTTAAGCTTGAAAAATCTGAAAAAAGTGTTTTTCATAATGCCCATTAAAATGTTTTTGCCTTGCAATGAGGTTTGAGTTGTATGCATGGACCATGAAAGGTGGTTTGTAAAATTAACATCTAAATATCTATATAAATTACTTGTTTCAATAACATCTCCTTTGTAATACCATTTTCCCCCTTTTGCCAATTTTCCACCATTTTTTAAAACAACTAACTTTGTTTTAGTTTGATAAACAGAATCAATTTATAAGCATTGCAATAATTTTCTAATTGATTTATCAATGTTTGCAAACCACATATTCTACTATAGAAGAATATGATATCGACAGCAAATAATAATTAATGAATTCAATTATTGAGAAATAAGGGCTAAGGATGCAGTCTTGTCTGACTCCAAGTTGACTGGTAATAGCTTCTGACAAATCATTATTATTTCTGACACATATCTATATATTTCATATATGCTAAGTAATTGTTTTTTTCATATTACAACTAACATCATGTCTAAGTAAAATATTCCATAATTTATCACTGCGAACCGAATCGAACGCCTTTGCAAAATTTACAAAGACAACATAAAGTCTCCTCCCTTTCTGACTTATGTATTTCTGTACAATTGTATGTGAAATAAATATATTATCAGTGGTTGTGTATCCTTCCCTAAAACCGGCTTGGGATTCACTTATTTTATCAAAAGTGTCAGCTCAATAGACGAGCCTTTTATTCAATATGGATGTAAATATCTTACTAAATACACTCACGAGAGTAATGCCTCTATAGTGATCCGTGTTATAAAATACACTCACGAGAGTAATGCCTCTATAGTTATCCGTGTTATATAATACACTCACAAGAGTAATGCCTCTATAGTTATCCGTGTTATAAAATACACTCACGAGAGTAATGCCTCTATAGTTATCTGTGTTATAAAATACACTCACGAGAGTAATGCCTCTATAGTTATCCGTGTTATAAAATACACTCACGAGAGTAATGCCTCTATAGTTATCTGTGTTATAAAATACACTCACGAGAGTAAAGCCTCTATAGTTATCCGTGTTATAAAATACACTCACGAAAGTAATGCCTCTATAGTTATCCGTGTTATAAAATACACTCACGAGAGTAATGCCTCTATAGTTATCCGTGTTATAAAATACACTCACGAAAGTAATGCCTCTATACTTATCTGTGTTATAAAATACACTCACGAGAGTAATGCCTCTATAGTTATCCGTGTTATAAAATACACTCACGAGAGTAAAGCCTCTATAGTTATCCATGTTATAAAATACACTCACGAGAATAATGCCTCTATAGTTATCCGTGTTATAAAATACACTCACGAGAGTAATGCCTCTATAGTTATCTGTGCTATTCAAGTCACCATGTTTATGGATCGGGACGAAAATACGCTATTGCGTTGGCACTTAAAAAGCGCAATCCAAGTGTAAACCTGTTTAAAGAATTCGTTGAAAGCAGGTCATTAGATGCATTAATGATGGAGAGGTCGGCAGCAGGTTTTGGGCCAAGTACAAGTAAAAGCTCAAAGTAATATCCGACGACGAAAAAAATTGCCTCTGGGAGAAAGGTGCTCTAGGAGAGAATAATTCACCTCAACTGCTCGACACCATAATATTACTGTATTTGACTTGTGAGTGGCAAACTGTTGTTAAATTCTACCTTTTAAATCTATTCTTTTCTTTAAAAGTTTATTTTTGATGAATACGAGCGTCCAAGAGAACCCAGAGACATAAGAAACTTCTCGTTTTGGTATCAATTCAAACCGATTATTTTTATCTTATTTTCTTAAAGGTTTGAACTTTGCCTTGCGTGGTGAGGCGGAGCACCGCAAGCTGCGCCTTTTCCAGAGCCCGCAAATCACTGGGCCACAAAAGGATACTTGTTGTACACAGAGGATGTTTCCAAAACTAATGCTGGTGGTGCCCGACAGAGGAAGCTGAAACCCAAGCAAGCTCGGGCTTACGAAAATGTCTCAAATCGATCAAGATGCTATGTACGATTTTACACATGTGTAAATGTATATAAAATTTGTATATATGTTGCATACGGGCCTGTGTCTGAGTCTGTGGTGAGTGATTTGATGATTTTAATATTTGTTTTCTTGCAGTATCTTAAGTAATGTGTAGCATTACGCAGTTTAAAGATTTCAAATGTTCATCTAAATGTAATTTATATATTTTAGTGCTCAGTCAATCTCCAAAACGAATGCCTTCTACTTCACTCCAATGAAAAAAGCCTACAGCTGACAAATGGTACACAGACGGTCTTGTGGGTCATAATACACTCCAAAATACAGTGAAGCGGATCTGTGGAATGGCAGGGATCGAAAGAGTAAAGACGAATCACTCGCTGCGTGTTACTGCTGCGACCCTCATGTATCAGGCCGACCTTGACGAACAGCTGATCTGTGAGCAAACCGGTAATGATCTAGTGAATTTTGTAAAATTAATAGAATCATTTTTGACAGCTTACAGTTTAACCACTTCTGAAAATCAACCCCTTAAGAGGTTAAAAATCGACCAGATGTAAAACCTCCCCGACATGCACCTGAAGTAAAACCTACTATGGGGTTTTCATGAGCGAGAATTAACCCCAAAAAAGGAATAGGCAAAGTCAATTAACGGTTTATAACTCGGGCCCTGTCTTGTAGCTTGTAGAGGTAGATATCTCCTCTCTTTGGCTGGGTTTGTCTGGTTCTGTCCTGTTGGTCAGAGCTCTGTTTGGGTTCCTGGGTGAGTTTGTGTCCTTTATAATAGTGTCTGGGTTATTTGATCTTAGTTTGTTACGTTCTTGGCTTTGGTGTGGTATGAGATTGTTGGCAATAGCCATTCCTTCGCAGGCAGGACATCTCTGTTTTACTGAATGCCATTTATCCTCCTAGTGGCACATTCCTACTATGATGGGTCTGGTCTTGGTTTGCCTTGGCAGAGCGTAACCTGTGAGCTCTCTCTATGTCTCTGGTTGATAAAGGCTGGAGTTTCTTCACAAACCTGGCACTGTTGAGGATCTCCAGGACCTTGGTATTACTCTCAGCATAGGCCTCCTTCCCTGTTTCTGATATGCCATGTTGTTTTTTCGTTCTTGGTCCTCCAGTGTGGATTCAAGATTACCAATATAACTTTCCATTTCATCAGTTCTATCGTTAATGGCGTCAATCCTTTGTTCTCATGCTCCTTATCAAGTTCATAAAGAAAGTTTGCGGAATCGCATTCCATTCCTCTACTAGAGCGCTTCGGAGTCGTGGGAGATCCACTGGTGCTGGGTGACGTGTGTACACACGTCGACCTAGTTCATCGCAGGCATGCTCAATTGGGTTGAGGTCTTGCGAACATGCTGGCCATTCCATCCGCTCTACATCTTACTGCCTAAAGACAATCCTGACCCTATGAGTCGTTGTCGTTTTGCAGCAAAGTGGGTCGACCATAAAAGCCATGCATAGCTTGCAGGAATGGAACTGCTATAGGAGCCAGAATCACGTCCGGATAACGCTGTCTGTTAACACTACCACCGACCACGTGTAGTTGAGTACGTTCAATAGGAGTTATCCCTGCCCAAACCATGACCGATCCCCCGCCAAATCGGTCATGCGTGGCAACGGCTGCATCTGTGATTCGCTATTGACGTTGATTCCAGCGGCCATGATGTATACTCCATCTCAAACGCGCCTGTAACGTGGTGTTAGTGGTGGACGAACTGCAGGTCGCCTACAGCGGAGTCCGGCTGCCCTTAAACGTCGACGAAGGTGCTCCTGGATATCCTAACATTGTCAACATTGAAGTGTTCTGTCTGAAGATCTGCTGCGTTAAGGAATCTGTTACGTATCACAGTGTTAATCATGTGCCTATAATCTCGAACTGTTGTGACTCTGGGGCGACCTGGTCGACGTGCATATTCCACTGACCCATTGGCTTGAAATCTCTGCCACAGTCTTCCAATAGCACTCTGACTCACATTAAAGCGAACAGGCTCAAAGCGCTACCATCTGATTATTACAAGTTTGGTCTCGGTGAACAGAAGCAATTTTGAACAGACTTACTTGCCTAAGGTGAGATCACCTGAACCACCTTGCTGGTTTTTTTTAGTAACATTCCATCGGAAAATACATTAAATTACAACTTCCTGATTGTCATTATTTAACACAAGTATTGTCATTGCACATTTGTTCATGCAGCCCAAATCACTATTCGTTCTACTTTGTCCATGTACAACGCCCCCACACACACATAACACACACACACACACACACACACACACCCCGGACACACTGTGAGAAGCCCTTTGCTGGTAATCCTCGGCGAGTGAGCGAGTGGGTTTTTACGGCTCTTTTAGCAATACACTAGAATGGATTTCACACAATGTACCAGTGTGGTTAATCGAAACCGAGCGGACGCGTTATCCACTAGGCTACCGAACGGCCCTTGATCATATAATAAAACATAAGATGCTCCTTGAAAGTAGGATGTATTAAGATAGAGTATATCAGGCAGCATAAAACATTCAAAGCAAGACATTTGTGGTTATTTGTTTAAGCACATCTCATATTTAGCACTTTTGTACAAAACAACCTTAGCGCTAAGACTATCGCAAGTCTGTGTTAATGTACGGCAGTTACTGTCACCTTACACTAAGACGGCTTTGTACAACGGTACCCAGGGTCATTCAAATTTATTACTACTGGCAAAAAGCCTTAAGGATAATTTGGACTGGCGCAGAGAACACGTTTACGAGAAGTAGGCGGTGCACGGCAATGAGCAAACCCATTTGGTTTGTGAAAGGTAGAGCGGATGGAGGCCAGTGCACGTGCATTACATGACGATGAAACTGATTCCGCGCGTAGATGCACACGTCTTGCTCATACGGCTCTTACGTGGTCGGTGTAGCAAGTCGGTAATATTCGGACAACCTTGGGCCCTTTAGCTCACAATGGTAAGTGCCAGTGAGCGCCACTCATACATGCTAATACGGGTCAATTGTCAGGTCGGTGCTATACTTAACCTTGTTTACCAGTAGATCTTAGGCTATCTGAACTTGATATATATACTGTCACTGACTGGCTCTTAGCAACTATTATCTTGCGTTACAAGCCCCAATGGATATTTGTGACTCCATATTCTGATAAAGAAACTAAATCACAACAAAGTGGTAAAATGAAACTCGTAAGGAAATGGACAAAGTCTGTGCATGAATTCAACGACACAAACAATCCTTGACAAACACAAACCGTTGGTCTGTCTGTGAAACCTTTCAACAAGATCTGCGAAGGTAGGCTAAAAATAGAAACGCCATGCTGCTGAGGCATGTAGCTCGGCTTTCATTCAGCCCCTGTCGGGAAGACTGAGCTGAACATCAGGATGTCCGGTAAAGGTGGGTGCTCACAAAATGATCTCGTATGGCTCATCTATGTAAATATTTGCAGTAATTGGAACATCTAGTTCCGGCCTTGTACTGTATTGTACATATTGAAAAGAATATAATTGAAATAATATTTATCATATTTAATTTAATCAACTTTTCCAACCCGTGAAGGTCCGGGATAGAATGAACCTTCAGTAACCCATGCTTGTCGTAAGAGGCGAGTAACGGGATCGGGTGGTCAGACTCTCTGACTTGGTTGACACATATCATCGGTTCCCAATTGCGCGGATCGAGGCTCATGCTGTTGATCACTGGATTGTCTAGTCCAGACTCGATTATTTACAGACCGCCGCCATATAGCTGGAATATTGCACGTATAAACACCGGTCCACTCACTGAAAATAATAAGATTCGTCTGGTTTTAGGCGACCGTAGCCTCAAAACAAAGCGCTAGTTACAGTTCACGGATGGGCTACGAGACCATCATATGAATCATGTCAAGCGTTGTTTAAGCTTAGCTGTGTATAAACTAGGTCATCAGATAACGTAAACATGTCATTTGACTAGATAAGACAATGTTCTACGTTATTTGGTGTCTTGTTGATATTCATGATTGTACTTTGAAAACCATAGTCACTGAGGGAAGACTGAAAGTACATCTGGCTTACAAATATGCAATGGGGTTACTACATTGTTTCAACCTTGGTCCCGCGAAGTGACAGATTACTGGCCTACTTTCTCAAATGCAAATTATAAGTGCGTGAATTAATCATAAGTACATGCATTACGAATGTATGGGCTCAAACTATCAAATATCGCAAACTGCACATTTAGTACGGGCTTGTTCAATATTACGGTCATTGTAGCCCTAAATTATATATTTGCATTCATTTAGAATCTACTTCAAAGAATTTCATGCAGCATATATACTTTCTGGGTTTTTGTATATTGTAACTTTCATTTTGTATTTTAAATCTGGTCAAGCAGTGTTTTGTTACTTTGATACTTTATTTTAAGTCACATACTTTAAGGGGCACCCATAACTAGATGATCGTTACATATTAATCATGATACTGTCACCTCCGCTGGCCCGTACATGTGTAGGGAATGTGCGGTCTTAATACTTCACTCGCGTCATGTATAATGTCACTAACGTCGACAGACTAGGGTCTTGGCTGTTATAAATTCACCATTGTGTACAAACACATAAAGAAGGAGGACTGGGAAAAATACCCGAAACATAGACATAGAATTTACATTGTTTTTGTAAGTTGAAATCACGACTTCTCATGATGTTTCTCAAGACAGACATGGCAGGGTGGAAGGTTAAAAAAGTTGTTTAACAAACTATCATTAAAATATTGCCACATTTCACTATTTGTTACGACGGAGGAGTGCAGAGAAAGGGACAATCAGGTATGCGAGAAAGAATGGAGACGGCACAGGTTAATGAATCAATAACTTTGTCGGCACTTGTGCACGTGCTTCTCGAACACATGGCTGTCCCTTTCTCTGCACTCCTCCCTCGTAACAAACAGTAAACTGTGTCAATATTTTAATGATTTTTATTAAACACCTTTTTTATTTTTAGGACATTAATTCTGCAAAAACCTCACAGATTTTGATCTGATGTTTTGATTATGATCAGTGTTTCATTGAGTATTTTTTGTTCATGAGTTTCCGAGTTAGATTGCAATTGATCGGTCCGCTTTTGAGCCAAACGGGCTGTAGAATCAGACAATCCAGTGATCAACATCATGAGCATCGATCTGTGCAATTGGGAACCGATGACATGTGTCAACCAAGTCAGCAAGCCTGACCACCCGATCCCGTTAGTCGCCTCTTACGACAAGCATGGGTTACTGAAGATCAATACTAACCTGGATCTCCACGATGACATGTGTCAACCAAGTCAGCGAGCCTGACTATCCAACCTCAGACGCACCTAAAAACAGCTACTCATGTCAGTTACACACACAAGCTGGTAATCAAGAACGCCAGGTTAAAACCCGGTTACACCTCCTCATCACCTGATTGATATACAATCTGACCTATTTCAGTCACGTCCCCCGTGTCTCGTTGCATAAAGAATTACGTAGGGGAAGCCATTGTGACTATCGAATAGCGTTAACCTGGTTCTAAAACGAAATTAACATCCTTTCTCAACAGTGCTTACATATGACAAGTGTAGACGGCGCAATTTTGGGGAATGCTACATAAATATAAAAAAATGAGGAAGAAAAGCCACATTGCTACAACCAGCTGCAGCTACAAATATTGCTTCTGACTCAAACTGATTATTTCCCACAATGACACCATGGTTGAACGCCAGAAATGGGCTTCACACATTATAGCCATGTGCGGAATCGAAAAGCCATATTGCTACAACCAGATACAGCTACAAATATATATACTGATTGTACTATGAAAAGATTATTTTCCCATGAAGACACCATGTAATAATGTACATTTTGGTATATTGTTCTTTTTTTTCAACAGTCTGATGCATTTAAGGTGCGACTGGGCAGCCTAGTGGTTAAAGCGTCCGCTCGTCACGCCGAAAACCCGGGTTCGATTCCCCACATGGGTACAATGTGTGAAGCTCATTTCTGGTGTCCCTCGCCGTGATATTGCTGGAATGTTGCTAATAGTGGCGTAAAACCATACTCACTCATTCACTAATGCAGTAAGCGGAAGGTCGCGGGTTCGATTACCGACCGCGTCATACCAAAAGACGTTAAAATATGGTACTTGTTGCTCCCTGCCTGGCGCTCGGCATTAATGGGTACAACAAGGACTGGTCGGCTCGGAGTCAGTATAATGTGTCTTAGTGGGGTATTCATGCTTCACTGCGGCATGGTATCTCAGTGGGCTAGCACTATAAAACCAGCTTAAGTCTGGGCTAGTACAAGCAGCCGCACATACACATACACACGCATGCACGTCGTCATATGAGCGAAATATTCTCAAGCACGACGTTAAACCAACTTTCACCTCACCTCACCACTAATCCAGTAAACCCTTTCTGATTTTTTATTCTGGGTCGAAACGAAATCCCAGAATAAGAAATAGTCTCTGCTCTAGTTATAATAATAACCTTTGTCTACTGCGCATTTGGGGCGGTGGGGAGGCCTAGCGGTTCGATTGATCACTCGTCACGCTAAAACTCTGGGTTCGATTCCTCACATGGGTACAATGTCTGAAGCCCATTTCTGGTGTCCCCCGCCGTGTTATTTCTGCAGTATTTCTATAACCCAGCTCACTCACTCACTTCTGCGCATTCATTATTTTCTGTTGCAGGACACATCGCGCCCATCGGAAACAAGCAATCGGCCCCTCCACCCCGACCACCCCCACAACAGCCACCCCCACGGCAACCACCTGGTATGTGAATATTTAATCAGAAAAAGACTATCGCCTACTACGCATGTGGTGGGGTGGCCCAGTGGTTAGATTGATCGCTCGTCAGGCCAAATATCCGGGTTCGATTGTCTACAAGGGTACAGTGTCTGAAGCCAATTTCTGGTGTCGTACGCCGTGATATTGCTGGAATATTGCTAAAACCCAACTCACTCACATCTGGACATTCAATTATTTCCTGTTACAGGACACATTGCGCCCATCGGAAACAAGCAATCGGCCCCTCCACCCCGACCACCCCCGCAACAACCACCTCCACGGCAACCACCTTGTATGTGAATATTCAATCAGTAAAAGACTATCGCGGCTTTGCCTCACGGAGGATAGGTGGCATCTGCGCAAAATGATGTTTGTTTTTTCTAGGGATGTGAGAAAGTATATTTTTCTATCTTGCAGCTCCTCGTTTAGTTCCTGTCGTTCTTAAACCCGGCGGAGTTGGCGGCTTTCCGACGTTTTAACATTGTACATGTCGCCATGGAGACACACGACTTCCTCGTGTTGGCTTAAGCATTTACCGTTAATTGTTTAACGTTGTCTTCGGCCAGTCATCAACATGTCACAATTTACTTTGCTGAAAACATTAAATGAATTCAGATTGAACGTGTGTCGTTCTCGTGTTTGTTTGTATCAGAATGAATAAATATTATTTTACGCCGCATAAGCAGTTTTCTAGCTATTCGCGGCGGTGTTGCATCAGAACACAAATGAATACGATGTACATACATGTACCTATGTTGATACAATTGCTATAAGGGGTAAGTTTCATTTAACCCACATATTAGCAATTAACACTTAACACTTACTGAAGTTGTCTTGGCTGGGCGGTGCAAATGGGTCACAAAAGCATCAACATTTTGGCTATTTTCTCTGGATATCTGGAGGCGACTAACGGGATCGGGTGGTGAGTCTAGTTGACTTGGTTGCCACATGTCATCGGTTCCCAATTGCGCAGATCGATGCTCATGCTGTTGATCACTGGATTGTCTGGTCTAGACTCGATTATTTACAGACCGCCGCCATATAGCTGGAATATTGCTGAGTGCGGCGTAAAACCAAACTCACTCACTCACTCTCTGGATATGTGACCTTCCGTTTCTGATCAATTGCTCGGTTCTACGGGAAAAATAACAACTTGATTGCCTACACCCCCTCTCCAGAATGGACAAGTCCAAATAACGGCCCGGACTTGTTGTTTGATATGTTTTAGTGATGCTGTTGTTTGTTTGTTGTTTAATGCTGCACCCAACAATATTCCAGACATATAGCGGAGGTTTGTAAATAATCGAGTCTGGACCAGACACTGGATCCAGTGATCAACATCATGAGCATCGATCCACGCAACTGGAGTGTTGTAGTACTGTAATTCCCTCGTGTTGAATATCACTTGATGCAGCAGCCTTGTTCCCTTGGTTTGGTCACGTGAGTGGGTATGGACTTACGCCGCTTTTAGCAACATTATATTAAGGCGGGGACACCAGAAATAGGCTTCACACCCTGGAGTCGGAATCGAACCAGCGTAACGAGCGAACGCTTTATCCAAAAGGCTACCCCACCGACCATTAACTACCGTCCTAACCAACCACCCGTATGAATGGAAATCATACAAATGTTGTCCGAACAATATGACAGTATGAGATGTTTTGTACATACTTCGGTATACAGTCGGTGCTAAGACAATGGCAACTGAAACTCGTGTGAGTTCATTTAAAACAAGGTTAATCTCATTAAATCCACAGGTGTATCCATGTCTCACCAAAGGGAATATACAAATACACAATGACATACTGAAAAACAAATTGAATGCAAAGTTTAAATATTTTATTTAGAATACAAAATACAATCACAATGGTTAATAAATATATATTCTATAAAAAGGTACATACTCCTCTTTCGTGAGGATATTAGACACTGTACAAAATATTCGAAATGAACAATGTTACATAAATTAATACAAAGCGATATAAAAATATGGTATTTTTTTTTTTCAATATGGTTATAGCACTAAGAGGACACGTACATATTGAATTTTTGTTTTGATAGTGGATAGTTACATAATTGATGACCACAATGAAACCCTCACACCCTGACCAATCATCAACGATCGATAACAAAAATATGTTTATAAATATGGTATAGTTGTTATATCTTTTTTCAGTACTAACAGTGCATGTACACATTGTTTTGTACTAAATCCTTTTTTTTCATTCCCCTCACACCCTGGCCTATCCTCCCGCCCCGCCCTATCCCCGACCCCGTCCCACCCACACCCACGTTCATTTATTTCTTGGATGACTTCTTCTTCTCCGCCCGCTCTTCGTCCAGCTTCTTTAGTTTCTCCTCTCTCATCTGGAGCTGATGCTCCGCCCTCATTTTCTTCAAGAACAGGCGACGTTTCTTCTCGTCATTCACAGCTTTGTGCTTTATCTCTCTGTCTAACTGTTTCCTCTGAACTTGATCCACTAGCCTGCAATAGATGATTGTCATGGTACATGTCAATCAATTGGGACGAATGCACAAAAGTAAATCAGTATCTACATTAATGAAAGTACTGTATGCAACGTTAGGCTACATGTCGTCTCTCTTTCAGAGCGTAGATCACAATATTCAATAAGACAACCCCACAACACCGTCCATCTGAGGTAATGACACACTTGTTGAATCTGAAAGCGTCAGCCTTCTGTCTTCTCCCCTCTGCTGTGTAGAGGCATCGCACTGGGATTTGCTCCAGACGTCGAGGTGGTTTGCCGCGGGAACCAACACACTCGGTGGCGGGCACAGAGAAAGCCACTCCTCCGCTTGTCTGGTGGACAGGGACCAGTCCCTCCTCTCTGAGCTGCTGGAGAATCTCGTCCCCTGACAGGCGGGACGTGGACGGTGTCACCTGGCTCTTGGCGTAGTACAGTTCGTGAGGGCAGTTGATCTTGCCCGTCAGAGCCTCCTCGGGAGATGTTTGCTTCAGTGGTGTAACCTTAGTTTGCTTACATCCCATTTTAGATGATAATTTTTTACGCTGTTGTGCACGCGGCTTGTTTCCAGGCGCATGTGGGCAACAATAGCGTGACGTCATAATATCGTGACCTCAGAGTGACATGACGTCAGAGATTTTGTGTGCATTCGTTTCTCTAAATCACTAAAAGTGAGCTTTGTCGAGGTCTGCGTTCGCGCTGTAGTGGGCCTACTACCAACGATGCGGAAAATTAGATTTGCTATGTTACAGAACCGTATCTCCTAAATTCGTGGATAACCTTGATTCGTGGATCGCGGTAATTTGTCATGCTATCTCGCAAATTAAGTCTCGTATGGCGTCACGATAAGGTACTTTTGATTTACACACATCGCCTTGCAGACAAAAATGTTCCGAATCTCTGCATTACACGTAAATACACTAAATCAAATTGTCCAGCACTGAGATGAATAGCCCAAGATCACTAATGCCACTAATACCAAATTATATTTTCACAAACTGTCAAGTAAAAAAGACACCGTTAGCAGCAACCTTCTCACACCTCGTCGCCTGCTTTCTTATGTGTCAATACTTACTGCAATGGGCTATCATACATGATAGTGACATATATACTAGCCACATAAAGAAACTGTGCATTGTCAAAATATTATCCCAGTTGATAAGCACGATAACAATGTCAAAGGTACATATAAACTTTAATGGAGGGATCATGAGACCATAACAAGTCGGGAGAATTCAATTGAAAAGTCAATCACAATGACGTCACAAGTCCACAAGCGGGACAGGGGTCAAACGACCATGTCACAAGCTCAATAACGGGTATGTCCACCATCGGTATTGAGAACAGCAATGCATCGACGACGCATAGAGCCTATCAAACGTGCAAGGAAGGCTTGTGGGATGTCACGCCAGATTCTCTCAAGTTCTGTTGCAAGGTCAAGGACGTTAGCTGGCGGATGAGGAAGACGGCGTAGACGTCGATCCATCTCGTCCCAAACATGCTCTATCGGGGAGAGATCCGGTGAATTTGCAGGCCAAGGCAGTAAGTCAACGTTGTGGTGTTGCAAGAAATCCATAGCAACCCTTGCCGTATGAGGGCGGGCATTGTCCGTTGGAATGTTAACCCAGGGCCATGACGTTGCGGAAAAGGAATTGCCACAGGTCGAAGAATCTGATCCCTGTAGCCCACACCTGTTAAGTTGCCCTGAACAATCACCAAAGGAGTTCTTTGGCGTGCTGTTATTCCACCCCAAATCATCACGGAACCACCATCACCAAAGCGATTCCTCTCCAAGACACAGGCCTGTGCATAACGTTCTCACATGCGTCTATAGGCACGTTGACGTCCATCACTATTGGAAATGTTAAACCTGGACTCATCTGTAAAAACAACATTTCTCCACCAAAACAAGGGTCTGCGGACATGATTTCGGCACCACATTCAGCGAGCTTGTCGATGACGTTGTGTCAGGATAGGCCGTATGGCGGGACGTCGTGGTCTGATCCCGTGATGACGTAAACGTTGTCGAACTGTGTTGGGGTGGATACGGCGAAGTCCTGGGATGGTTCGGGCAGTCATCACTGCAGTCTGAAACCTGTGGCGAAGATGGGTCACCCTTATCCATCTGTCCTGTCTTGGCGTTGTTACACGTGGACGTCCAGAACGTGGCCGATCGATGACGTCATTTGTGTTCTGGTAGCGTCTCACCAGTGCAGAAATGGTGTTCCGGTGGCAGTGGAAATGTGCAGCCACTTGTCGTTGAGACATTGCCCCACGGACCATCCCAATAGCCTCATGACGTTGTGCAGACGTGAGCCTTGGCATGCTATGCGTTTCAATAGCTGTTTAATTTTTTGAAGGATCGCAAGGGCAGGGGTTGAGATTTCCAAAGTGACAGTATTGTGTGGCATTCATTTGCTCTGTTTCTCTTTCCCGGAATGCAAGTGCAACAACGTATTGCACGTCTCAAGGACGAACCCACTGACGTCACGGAACGTGGCACGTGCATGCATGTTGGATACATGTCACTAATCTCTGAGTTTAAATCCTTATGTGTCTACACAGGTTTGATAAATTTAGATTTTAAATTTTTTGCATGCACAGTTTCTTTATGTGCCTAGTATAGTAACCGACTACATAATCCACGAAACAAGGTGACGTCACATTTTGTGTGCACACGAATGGGTGCTGATTGCAAATGGCTTCGGTAGACAAACGTTTCATTCACGAGTGGAATATTAGGCATTTTCAATTTGCTGTATAAATGAAAAACATAATCAGTGAGTATACAAGAAATCGTGCATCTAACGCATGATTTTCACCGCGCTTCCCTTATATCCACGAATCAAGGTTACGCTAGTGTACTGTGTAAATTCAAGATTAAATTCTACGACAGTTAAAAAAAAAAGACCTTTTGTTCAAAATTTTGTTGTGCGTCAAAGAGATGTAGATCAATCCAGCATTTTGTAGCATACACTTATTAACTCACCGGATGCCAGAGGGACATATATGTCCATCCTCCTCAAGTCGAATAAAATTCAATTCGGTGTTGTCAACCTCGAGTTTGACGTGTGAAGAGTTGTCAAGCTCGTGTTGTTCAGAAACAACCAATTGCACTCAACGAAATTGTCACGTGACCACACCGATAGAGACATGGCGCTCAAAATGACACGAAAGTTTGACATGTGTTTGACGTGTGAAAACGCCAGTTTGACAACTTTTAGAATTTTAACATGTGTTGTCAAACTTTCGTTTGCCGTGTAAAGGTCGTTTAAAACATTTTCACAGACTCAACTATTACTAGGTTACATTGAACTAGTGGTAAGCGGAGTTATGCCTCTTAACTGGAAAATATGCCTTCATCCATCTTATTACCCTCTCTTAAAACGTGACTTATCTGTACTTGGCGACCGCTATTAAAAACATGATGCACATGTGCTGGTGTAACATTATACCCGAACCACGTTGTGGCTGCTGGTGTAGCATTATATCCGAACCTCAGCCAGGCTGTGCTGGTGTAGCATTATACCCGAGCCACGGTGTGGCTGCTGGTGTAGCATTATATCCGAACCCCAGCCAGGCTGTGCTGGTATAGCATTATACCCGAACCACGGTCTGGCGCGCTGGTGTAGCATCGTACCCGAACCACGGTATGGCTGTGCTGGTGTAGCATTATACCCGAACCACGGTCTGGCTGCTGGTGTAGCATTATACACGAACCACGGTCTGACTGTTGGTGTAGCATTATACCCGAACCACGGTCTGGCTGCTGGTGTAGCATTATATCCGAACCCCAGCCAGGCTGTGCTGGTGTAGCATTATACCCGAACCACGGTCTGGCTGCTCGTGTAGCATTATACCTGAACCACGGCCTGGCTGTGCTGGTGTAGCATTATACACGAACCACAGTCTGGATGTGTTGGTGTAGCATTATACCCGAACCACAGTCTGGCTCCTGGTGTAGCATTATACCCGAACCACAGTCTGGCTGTGCTGGTGTAGCATTATACCCGAACCAGGGTGTGGCTGCTGGTGTAGCATTATACACGAACCACGGTCTGACTGTTGGTGTAGCATTATACCCGAACCACGGTCTGGCTGCTGGTGTAGCATTATACACGAACCACGGTCTGACTGTTGGTGTAGCATTATACCCGAACCACGGTCTGGCTGCTGGTGTAGCATTATATCCGAACCCCAGCCAGGCTGTGCTGGTGTAGCATTATACCCGAACCACGGTCTGGCTGCTCGTGTAGCATTATACCTGAACCACGGCCTGGCTGTGCTGGTGTAGCATTATACACGAACCACAGTCTGGATGTGTTGGTGTAGCATTATACCCGAACCACAGTCTGGCTCCTGGTGTAGCATTATACCCGAACCACGGTCTGGCTGTGCTGGTGTAGCATTATACCCGAACCAGGGTGTGGCTGCTGGTGTAGCATTATACACGAACCACGGTCTGACTGTTGGTGTAGCATTATACCCGAACCACGGTCTGGCTGCTGGTGTAGCATTATATCCGAACCCCAGCCAGGCTGTGCTGGTGTAGCATTATACCCGAACCACGGTCTGGCTGCTCGTGTAGCATTATACCTGAACCACGGCCTGGCTGTGCTGGTGTAGCATTATACCCGAACCACGGTCTGACTGTGCTGGTGTAGCATTATACCCGAACCACGGTCTGGCTGCTCGTGTAGCATTATACCTGAACCACGGCCTGGCTGTGCTGGTGTAGCATTATACCTGAACCACCGTCTGGCTGTGCTGGTGTAGCATTATACCCGAACCACGGTCTGGCTGCTGGTGAAGCATCATACACGAACCACGGTCTGGCTGTGCTGGTGTAGCATTATACCTGAACCACAGTCTGGCTGTGATGGTGTAGCATTATACCCGAACCACGGTCTGACTGTGCTGGTGTAGCATTATACCTGAACCACAGTCTGGCTGTGATGGTGTAGCATTATACCTGAACCACGGTCTGGCTGTGATGGTGTAGCATTATACCCGAACCAAGGTCTGGCTGTGATGGTGTAGTATTATACCCGAACCACGTCCTGGCTGTGATGGTGTTGCATTATACCCGAACCACGGTCTGGCTGCTGGTGTAGCATTATACCTGAACCACCGCCTGGCTGTGATGGTGTAGCATTATACCCGAACCACGGTCTGGCTGTGCTGGTGTAGCATTATACCCGAACCACGGTCTGGCTGTGATGGTGTAGCATTATACCCGAACCACCGCCTGGCTGTGATGGTGTAGCATTATACCCGAACCACGGTCTGGCTGTGCTGGTGTAGCATTATACCCGAACCACGGTCTGGCTGCTGGTGTAGCATTATACCCGAACCACTGTCTGGCTGCTGGTGTAGCATTATACCCGAACCACGGTGTGGCTGCTGGTGTAGCATTATACCCGAACCACTGTCTGGCTGCGGTAGCATTATACCCGAACCACGGTCTGGCTGCTGGTGTAGCATTATACCTGAACCACGTCCTGGCTGTGCTGGTGTAGCATTATACCCGAACCACGGTCTGGCTGCTGGTGTAGCATTATACCCGAACCACGGTCTGGCTGCTGGTGTAGCATTATACCGAACCACGGCCTGGCTGTGCTGGTGTAGCATTATACCCGAACCACGACGTGGCTGTGCTGGTGTAGCATTATACCCGAACCACGGTCTGGCTGTGCTGGTGTAGCATTATACCCGAACCACGGCCTGGCTGTGCTGGTGTAGCATTATACCCGAACCACGGCCTGGCTGTGCTGGTGTAGCATTATACCCGAACCAGTGGCTGTGCTGGTGTAGCATTATACCCGAACAACGGTCTGGCTGTGATGGTGTAGCATTATACCCCAACCACGGTCTGGTTGTTCTGGTGTAGCATTATACCCGAACAACGGTCTGGCTGTGATGGTGTAGTATTATACCCGAACCACGCTCTGGTTGTGTTGGTGTAGCATTATACCCGAACCACAACCTGGATGCACAGGTGTAGAATTATACCCGATCTATGGCCTGGCTGTGCTGGTGTAGCATGGTCGCATTTATGTTCTGATTTTCCTGAAAATCCGAAACCTGTTAAATAAGGAGATGAAATAATCCTATTCGGTCACCGAATACGGAATTGTTTCAAATTCTCCAGTTTATTCACCAGTGTTCCGATGCAACAAAATAAGACCTATATATTTTGGTTGATGCTTTCAGCAAAAACAAGCCGTAACAAGCTGATTAAAGACTGGACTTTGGTCCTCCACATATTCGGAAAACAACCTTAACGTAAGATCTGCTAACAGTAAGGCCTCCATGAGAAGAAGTCTTCGGAAAACTGCTTGGTCATTTGAAAGCAGGTTTGTTAACTGGAGCTGAAAAATATTAAAACAATGAATATAATTCTTGATTTCCCATGGTGCAAAGCCATGACACTTATATATTACTGATGGGAAATATTCACATACGTTTTGGTTGTGGATCTTTCGGGCGCGGCCTTGGAAGACGTATAGGGTGAGACAATGTGAGTCCTTTCGGTATACCTGCCGCTTCACATTTCACTGCAACAGAAAAGAAAATATGTTCGAGCCCACATTCTCAGTGTGAGGCAACATATCCACAGCACACAAATTCAGCGATCTAACCCACTCAGCGACCGAGATTTAAGAAAATGTCCGACAACTGGTACTTTGTGTACCCCTCTGACAATTAACTTATACGATGCCAATGTCGATGCGAATGCTATGAATTATCTATGCAAGGTCAAACTGGGGAAGTAGCAAAGGGCTTGCACACTAGCATGTACTTCTCTTTCATGTTATCGTACATATGTTTACACACAGAGCAAACACAGTGCGGATTTATAGCTGTTGGTATTTCAGTCAAAGTACATAGCTTTGTTGTTAGGTGTTACATAGGAGGGGAGTTGTGGAGCTGTATTACTCCGACACAAGGCAAGGTTTTCACGGAGCACATCAAATCAGTTTCTCAAATACTCTTTTGAGTACACACAATATAATACATTTCTGTTGGTCCTTTTATTTACATGTATTCACTGAGATGAGTCCATTGAGATCATATAGTGACCACCTACTTTTACCGGACATCGTGACATTCTATTCAATCTTCCCTATCTGAGACGAATGAAAACCGAGCTCCAGATGAACCGAGCTTCCGTTCGTCACAACTCGCCCCTTTCCCATTCGTCACCACTCGCCCCTTTCCGTAACCTCCAAGAAAAATTCGTAACTACTCATGTCATTCCGGCAAGCCAGGTGGCGTCCCGTACCCCTCTCGTGGCCATGTTTACTACTGGGACCTGTCGCAGCGCAAACGGGCACGGAGATGAAAATAGTCCAGTATTATTACCAAGGAAAAGATAACTCTGACTTTCCAAACATGGCTAATCCTAGAATATCCTACATCCCGTGGGCAAAACAACCATATAGTCATTCCCTCCGTAAAGATGTTTCAGTGTTGAAAGTTGCTGATCCTTTAGCCCAAGGTTATGTTTAAATCGTGATTTGCATAGTTTAGGAAAGCTTCAAAGTTCGACCGTGCCGCCATTTTCGTGCTTCGAAATGCGTTTTACAAGAGACCATATAATGTTATATGGTCTCTGGTTTTACTACGCGCTATTTGACTGCTTTGCCACGATTCTTGGCAATAATGGCGTACGAGCCTTCTTGTAGGTCACGGAAAGAGGCGAGTAGTCACGTATGCTACAAGAAGATCGAATGGAGTCTATTTGGAGGTTACGGAAAGGGGGCGAGTGGTGACGAATGACATACCTGGTAGCTGTCGAGGAGGTGGTTGCTGTGGTTGTGGCCGCGGAGGAGGGGCCGCTTGCTTGTTTCCTTCGGTTTCTGAAACATAAAGGTTAGTGGTCAGATTGTTTTATTATTTAAAACAACAGCATTACACATGTGCTACCTTATTTTCAACAAATGATTAATATATACTCTTCAAAAGTAAGATGATTCGAAAATAACCGGTGACTGTAGAAATACAAAGCCGTATTGAATGATGATTCTGGGTGAACAGGTAAAACAAAAGAATCAGGTGAAATATGAGAGTGAGTGAGTAAGTGAATGTGTTTTTACGCCACTTTTAGAAACATTCTAGCAATATCACGACGGGGAACACCAGAAACACTGGTAGGGAACTTGGTCACCGTGAGAGAGGAGTCTTTGTGATTTTTGCGACGGAAACTTTGCGATATGTCACAGAGTCTTTGTAAATTTAGCATCAGCAAGGGAAGTGTAAGGTTCGGTAAATGGCTTGTATGCCTACAAAATGAATATTACAAGAGAGTTGAATTCACATTTACTTACATTAGGTTTCCATCAGTAACAAGTAAATATTATGATGTTCAGAAAGAGACTGATAATCATGTAAAACCATTAATTGTCACAAAATTTATCCTTTTTGATAAATAATCGGTATATTGTGACAAATGACCCCATAAAGAAGTGGTCGACCCTCTTGACTGCAAGACGTCAACGCTAGGCCTCATAGGGCCAGGATTGTCACCGAATTCCTCGAACTCGGACATAAATCAATGCGTTTTGTTTATGGTGTATAGCCTGATTGGTCTTAAGTTCAAATTGCATGTGGTCAGTGATAGCAGCTGTGTATTGAATATTGTCATTTGCAGACAGGCAGGCAGACGCACAGGTGTCAATAAAACAAGACATTGAGTTTTGTCTGTGACAACGACATATCTATATCACAGTTAGAAATTCTGTCAAGGCTAAATAATGACATTGCTTTTAAGTATCGAACTGAGAAAGTGACTCGGTAAGAAGAACGTGTGGTGAAATAGACAAATGAAATTATATAAACAGTTTATTTACTGTCATAACATATAAATAGCTCGCGCCTGTGAGATATCAACAAAACATTAGAAAAATAGCTCACAACAAAACCTTCACTGAGTATTCACCGGACAACCCGCTTCCAAGCTGCGCAAACCTATTTCACTGCGCACGTGCTAGGGGGGAAACCCAGCTGTTGAAACCAGTTTTCCTCCGAAAAGTCGGGGAAAATTAATGAAACGTTTGAACTCCGATTTCGCGCGGTTTTTTTCATCGCGTTATTTTTCAACTTTATAAGTTGAATTTGCATTTTTGACGATTTGTTTTGGTAAGTCCATACCAAAAGGTATCAGAATCTGCAAAGTTGTGTTTTACGTTGCATGTGACCTTTAAGTATGTTGGTGCAGTATGTACCAGGCTCCCAAATGTGCTACCCAAACTACAAGCTATTTCTATTGTGACGCCTTGCATAAGGAAGCCTACCTCTCTCTCTATCTCTCTCTCTCTCTCTCTCTCTCTCACACACACACACACACACACACACAAACACACACACACACACCATGTTGTAGGATACTGTTGACGAGGGGGTAAGGAACGACTATTTTCACATTATTAGATGGCCAAATAGGTAAGGGATAGGGGAAGATAGGGGTTGTGTTCTGTAATTAATCTTATAAAACAATAGTGTTGTGTTGCATCAGTGTAGCATAACTGCCGCTTGTTTTAATATTGTAGAAAACATTGACCCAAACATTATATTTCCACTTTCACTATAGACCACTGGTTTGTAACAGAAACAATGATAAGTCAAGTGTAAATTGTTTTTGAGAATATAGTAGACCAGTAAAATAAATACGCATCAGAGAATTCAAAAGCACGCGCACATATATTGACAAACTGTTAAGTGAAGTAATTGTACTTATATCTAGTTGGCGGAATGGCATTATTTTCATTAGAACCAAACTATAAGAATAGGCAGGGTGAGATGTACCAGGATATACTGGCAAAGAAATGTTACATCAGAACAGATATAATATATGTGAATAAACATAATAATAAGATTAATATGGAGTTCTATACTTTGGGAACAAACCTGTGTAAGTCTAGGTATCTCGTCCCTTGGCTTTTCAAGATAACAGACTGTCTCGCCGCAACACAGCTGCTTCTGAACAACACGGCTGTGTGTTAGGTCAATGGCTCTTCTGAGAGGCACATGTGCCATTCATGACATGAGCCTTACCTACATGGACCTAGACCCTACCCTGTCGACGCCTATGGCGTCTAACACAACTGAAAGCAAAACTACTTATACCAGAACCGCTCTAAGTCCTCTCGACAACTTTTGCATAACAAAATCGTACTCTCCCAGGATACAATACTGTATGATGCCGGGGATAGTGGCTCTATATCAGATATAATTATTGAGATGGATCTAAAGACATAATCACCTGATTACTCACCGTACATCCTGACCTTCCGTTCCGTCTTCGAGGTACGAGCCGAATGGCAGTCAATACTCCATATTCACGCTGCGGCCACGTTTGCGACGAAAGCGAGGCTCGGAACGCAAGCCTTTCGACAGCAGTAGGCCCGCCCAGTATGGTGTGGTGGAAGAGTCCGCGTGGTATTCCTGCTTTAAGGCAAGAATTTGTTGATAATGGGCAGAAACAGATAGCAAAACACCGAAGAAAGGGACTAATTAAAGGATAACAAACGAGCTTCCCCTTTCATATCAAGTTTTATGTCCCGAGTGTAATAATTTTGCTTTGTCACGAGCTTTAAAAAAAAATAGCGAGTAACAAAGCAAAAATATTTCACGAGGGACATAAACTTAATATGAAAGGGTAACGAGTTTTGTATCCTATTTATTACCCACGTTTTAAACAATGAAAATATAGTTAAAATAAAGCAATATTTTGCTTTCCTATGTAGAACCGCACAACGCGGATAGATACATCATATTGGTGATTGGAATGTCAACCGCTTCACTCCAGCAAAATTTAACTAGTCAAGAAAATAAACACATTATGACAAAATCAATTCAGAATCAAAATTTAAATCTTTTCAATTGAGGATTTAGTTTCAAATGCAATAATGTAATTCAACTAAATACTTGTGAAGTGTAAATATTTTGAAATGAATGATTACGGCAGAGGTACAGATAAGCTGCGTATCTGCATAAATTACGCAAATATTTATGTGAAAACTCAATTCCTATTAAGTCTATTGCGTATAAATACGCTTGAATTTTTGTACATACTCAATAAATGTGATCTTACATGCTTACACACAAAAATGTCAAATCTTCTCGCGTACCGGTGAATGGATAAAATAACTGAGGTATATTGAGAGGTTTTATTTCAGGACATGAACTTGGCAACTTGCAGTCTTTCTTATCGTTTCTGATATTACAGATCAAATATAAATTACAAACACTAACATTTAAACTTGATCATATTTTTAAATTAATAGAAACTGGCAAAATACCCAACTGAGGTGAGGTGAGGTGAAATTGGGTTTAACGTCGTGCTTGAGAATATTTCGCTCATATGACGACGTGCATGGGTGTGTATGTGCGGCTGCTTGTACTAGCTCAGACTGAAGCTGGTTTTATAGTGCTAGCCCACTGAGATACCAAGTTGCAGTGAAGCATGAATACCCCACTCAGACAGATTATACTGACTCCGAGCCGACCAGTCCTTGTTGTACCCATTAACGCCGAGCGCCAGGCAGGGACCAACAAGTACCATATTTTAACGTCTTTTGGTATGACGCGGTCGGGGATCGAACCCGCGACCTTCCGCTCTCCGGGCGGACGCTCTAACCACTACACCACGGAGGCGGTCAAATACCTAATTGAGTTTGAGTGAGGTGAGTACAATTTATTTGGTTACTCAAAGGAAAATTGAGATGAACACAAGCGAGTACATAACTCAATGTCCCAAAAAGTTATCTGTACTGTAGCTCTGATTACGTGAACTAAATCTCAATCGGCCATCACTGTCGGGCTAGTCATGTTGAGAACTGTTGACAAACAAGCAGCGAAAAGGAAGCATCAGGAGCGGAACACGCAACAGCAGAAGCCGCATGTGAATAACAGGGAACTGTATGTCTCAAATAGTCGTGGTTAATGTTCTTCATCGGAAGACGAGTCACTGTAAATAATACGGCGACCTTGGCGAGGACGCCATGCAATGACGGATGTCGAGATTCGATGTTTATGTTGAAGACTCCACCGTGAATTGGGTCTAAAAACACACTGCCTACAACCTCGAATGAAGACGATTTCAAACCTATTACGTTTATTACTAAAATTCCTACATAAATCGCACGTAATATCCCTCCTCACCCACCTTCACTTTGATATCTATACCATATCCAAATACATCACGAGGATAAATGCAATGTGCAGTTTTGAAGTGTAGGATAAAACACGACTCCGAGGTTTGGGTTGAGATTGTAAAACCTCAGGGGAAGGAAATCCCGAGGGCGCGTTAGCGCCCGAGGGATTTCCTGACACTGAGGTTTTACAATCTCAACCCAAACCGAGGAGGAGTGTTTTATCTAACTTATAAACCGTCAAAGACAACACTTAATTTCAATTTGTGCATGTACTGTGTAGACCAACATTGATGGAACAGCCCGCCACTGGCAGCCAACACCTTGCCCCGCACGCGCAATGCTCGTGCTCTGCACGCGCTACCCGTGTCCTGCACGTGCGCTGCCCGCAGTACCTGTCGTGTGAGAAACACCTGGTTCATACTGACAAACAATCTCATTACTCACAGCGATCCTTCGTAGCGTAGTGGATAAAACCGCCAAGCTAGAGAGCGAAGGGTCGCGGGTTCGAAACCAGTTATCGCCACTGAATCTTGCAAGTTTTCAAAGAGATATTTTACGATCAGTCATAGCAAGACAAAGTTGTATCAGTCATAAATAATGGTATGGGTATGAGGTTTTACAACGACCATTGTAAAACTTCGTACCTCGTATGAGGTTTTACAATGGCCATTGTAAAACCTCCTGCGAGGTATTACAATGATCATTGTAAAACCTCTACCGAGGTTATTCCATAATGCGAAGCAACTGCAAGAACAATAGACAACATTGGCCATAGGTTTATAACTCTGTTTGAAATTCATTTTTCTATGATATCATCCGCTCATTGTAGATCAAATACACTGAAAATTACATGCATCGTAAAACTCGCCAGTTTTGAGACACATTGCTAAATCACCATTCACTGCGTTTTGCGTAATTTATAGTATGTCTTAATTCAAATGTCAAATTTTACTGGAAGAATTGAATTTAAAAGAAAAGACGTATCATTGTGATCAGCGGTAGTTTTGTTGCTATATGATCGAATCACAAATGCTCCTTCTGAAACATTGTCGATGTACCGAGAATCACTGAGAATGTTTTGGAAAATACGAAAACACAACGTCAAAGTGAATTTTCAGCCAGAGTGTTTATAAAATCACGTCACATGTACTGAGTATGTCGGTTATGTTTCGCCCATAAAAGCAATTGTATAATTCAACACCATCTTCCTTACACGAGTCCCTGAATTCCTCATACAGTTCAAAATAAACTGACAAATGGACTTTGTCACCAAATGGAAATGTTTTAATGAAATCGAACGATTTATATCAGGTGCCGCTCTGGGAAAGGACGTCTTGTTTGAAATGTAAACAAAGATTTTACACTGTGCACATCCGTTCGTCTACTTGTTGCGTACACTTGGTCATTAGTTTCAGAACATGCATGGGAAAGGTATCGTAGCAAGCGATAGTTACATAAAATATGAGTATTCCAATGATTTTCTAGATTCATCACAACATATTATACTTTCTGAAAGCATGACGCCGTGACTGACGCAAACTCACGCACAACGATGACGGTACTTCTCTTAATTTCTGACTATTTCCCTTGGTCACAACACAGGGGCTTGTAACGCTAAAAACTGCCATCAAGGTATATACTGTCACTAACGGGGTCTAAGTACTATATAAAAGGAAAGGGATGTAACGTGTTCAACACACCAGGTTCGTTTCAGGGCCAATTCAACAATACTCACTGTATTTATCCCATTTAAAGTTGCACACATTTCAAGCCAATAGATTTACCTACAAAATGAGACATACAGCACAAAAATCGAGCAGTAAATTTGGGAGCTAGGGTCTTCGGAAGCTCGAAAAATCGTGATTTCTCGATTCCGAGCCAAAATCCCTTCTCAGAATTTGTAGCCGTAACTTACGTTTGTTTACGTACATTTATTCATCGCAAACAGAATTGTGTCGTGCCCGTTCGCCACTGACGACCTTGGCCTTCAATCCTATAATAATTCAATTAGAATGCCGGCGCATTCACCGATGGCAAAGAGATGTAGTGCATATACGTTTTAATTTTTGTGAACAAAAGATACTGTTGGAAAGGCGACCGACTGAGGTTTAATGTTATACAATTTGGTGCGTTGTAAAAGTTTCAGTACAATGTATACGTTTTGTTTTTTTACAAACTGTAAGGTCATTACGGTGTTGAACTGACCATATAGCCAGCTGACAGTCAGGCACAGCTGGATGAAAACAGTAGCCTGCGCATCGAGACACAAGAACCACACCTATACCTGCACCACGTGAAATGGGTCTAATACGGTCTAACGACGTCATTCGTTTATCGTTTGGGCACCAATGACGTCATTTCCCAAGGGACATAAGCCATGGTGTGTTTATTGTGGACACTGAACTCTCGGTAAATGTTGAAAATTTGAATTGATATAACGCCAAATATAAATTAGTTACTAAACTAAACTTGTTAAACTGTCATTGACCAATGAAATTAAAGTATTTTACATGAAGGTAAGATATACACACACACACACACACACACGCACGCACGCACGCACGCACGCACACACACACGCACTCCACACACACACATATATATCGTATCTATCGTATATATCGATGTGTGTGTGTATGTGTATATATATATATACGAGTATGGATATAAAACTGCTTGATAAACACTTTTTATGATGAAAACGTGCAAGACAATAAGGTTAATTTTCGTGTAAACTTGCCCTTTCACTATTTAATGCAAACTTTATTTTTAAATTGCGATTGGAATTTGCTTACTGCATAAAATGCTTTGATGAATTACTGAGGTCTTTCATGGTACATTTTCTACTACACTTTCTATCAGATTTTACTAACTTTACCGGATGTTAAAGCATGGAATTGTAGTTTTAGATAACCATCAACGATTTCTATTCTAAAGTCTAAATAGGGTTTTATTTTCAGGTTCATACAGTCATGGCCAAATCAAGGGCCAAACTTCAAAAAGCCTATCGCGAACGTAAGAAGAAATCGGAGGCTAATTTCTTGGCCAAAGAGCGTCAACGGCAAAAACAGTTACAGAGTTTCAGCAGTACTATAAAGGTGAAGCTAAAAAGCGTCGCTAGAAAAATATTGAATATTGCTTGAAGTACATATTGAAGAAGAGTCTTCTCAAGCAAAATGAAACACAGGAGAATAGAGACTGTGCGTGAGATGTATACGAAGCATCTCAGTCAGATAAAATAACGAGTTCTTTCGACGTTATCTCTACTGAACCCTGCAATTCTCAGACAAGATTATTCAGAGAGCAAAGGTTGCTTGTCCATGCATCAATCTGCACGCGTCGTCGCCCATTCGTCACCACTCGCCCCTTTCCGTAACTTCCAAGAAGACTCGTCCCCGTCTCGATCCTTGTTATGTGCGAAAATACGATGAGCCAATCATAACTTGCGTAATGATTGCGGTGCTTTAATAAAAAAATAATCCCGAGTACTTAAATGGTTTATGACAATATGTCAATGTTTAGAAAATCAAGAAAAAGGTATATTATCATATTGAAAGTACAAAGAACGCAGCTAACGGAATTGTGTTGCCTCAAGTGATGTAAGGATAGTGCCATGGACGATGAGAGATGCAAATACACGCATGTGCGTTTGTTTGTACGGCTCTCCTGTTGCGTGTTTTCTTGGGCGATTTGCGGGCATGTTTTTTGAGATTCTACGTGCGCTTCCGACATTTGTATTTAATGCAGTTATAAATAGCCTTCATCAACTGTAAACTCAGTCACCGTGCTTACATTTCACTTCATTGGGCATATTTTAGTTTCTTGTGTCCTTCATATTTTGTCAGCGTATTCATCATAAATTCCACCTTGGGTATGGCAGCAAGGTTACATGCAAGTTCAGACAACTGGTTAACACCGCGTATATAGGATTCTCCACAAATTCTCCAAATCGAGATATATGTTAACGTAATTATGGTGTATCTATTTTCTCTTGTTACAGTTAAATGTTATTTTGATTTTCCTATTCACGAAGAAAAATATTCTCCAAGTGAATTCGTAAGCCGTATTCAGAGTATAAAGTGAACAGCTGGTAATAATTACATAAGAACGTATATTCAACAAATCACCATTATCATTATTTATTTAACAGGTTAAAATCTTATAACTTTTAAAAATTCGAGTGTTTCTGTATTGTTTATCACTGCTGGAGTTGTGTTGTCGTTCTTGTTTAAAGTAGTTCTGATGTTCATACGCCACTATAAAATCCTTCCATAGGGGCACGAATTGTATTTCGGCTTGTCCCGGAATACGACGAGTTGGTCAAGAATGTCTTTAAGTCCTTCAAATATAAGTGCACCCAAATACCTTCTGGGACTGCCTTTGTTCAAACTTGTAGTTCATAATGCATTGAGCTTTTGTTTCCGGAAGTAGATAACGATGACGTCAAACCAAAGTAACTTCATTAGACTGCAATTGCATTTGTCTATTTTATCGAAAGGCAATAGTAAAAGTCTTCCAGGTATTGGGCTATGTGTGCTCCAATCAGTTTGGTGTTTTCATTATGTCGGGAAACAGTGTAAGTATCATGCAAGGTGTACATTTCGTTCCAGTTTTTGACATGTATTTCCCCAAACCAAAGGTAACGCTGTCAAGGTGAAAAACAAGGTAAGATGTAACGATTTCAGGATTCATCGGGCTAAATGTTCCCTTTGTTCTCTCAAGTTCTTGTAAGCACTTTTCTTGATGACGTAAAGATGTTGTAAATATCCCTCGAAAATAAAGGCCAGCCGCTTAGGTTCCCTCTCGCTGCAAGGATCTAAATCATATCACTGATGATCATCACCTTCATATTGCTGATCTATTGCTGTGTATGTTTGCCTACCTTCCACTCACTCACTCATTCACTCACTCACTCACTCACTCACTCGTAACCATATTGTATACCAGCGATGTCATAAAATATGATTGAAACGTTTTGACACTGAACATACTAAAGCTAATAGTTTAATTTCAGTAGTAAAACTGAATTGCAATGAAATCTGGTATCCGCAGCCTTAGGTAAGTTTTGAGTGAGTGAGTGAGTTGAGTTTAACGCCGCGTGTAGCAATATTTCAGCAATATCACAATGGGGTACACCAAAAATGGGCTTCATTCAAGTACCCATGTGGGGAGTCGAGCCCGGGCCTTCGGCGTGACGAGCGAACGCTTCAACCATTGGGCTACCACACCGCCCCTAAGTAAGTATTGACATTTTACTGGTAGACGTAAGAGTACAGGACACCGTTGTGTCGAAGGGACCTATGTAAATAGTTCGAGTTAAGCAAGGCTCGACACAACCGCGAAATACTGACTAATATAATACCTAAGGATTAACCTTTCACTTCGAGATAAAAGTGAGTTCGACACATCATGGTTCGACTCTACGATAAACTTATACAAGCAGGACTGGATCAAGAAGCATTACGAAATAGGTGTAAGCGCTAAATGAATTTGTCATGACAGTCGCAGATCAAGTTCAGTCAGATCCGAATGTGTTTGTGTGACGGTTAGACCAAATGGTTAAATAACTTTCAGCGTTGCACCGGTTCTAGTTACGTTTACTATTACGTAATAACGAATTCCACGTGATACATATTATCTATGCTCAATGACGTTTTATGTACAAAGTAAGTATATTCCTGTGACAAAGATATTTTCAATGAGCCCACACATGAACCGAGTAGTGGTTTATGTCGACTAGTGTCTGTCAGTGTGTCGTTCCATTGGCTGTGCCATATAACGAAAATCCCCCTGAAAGTGTAGAGCGTTTGTCTTGAAGAGCATTGCCTGTATAAAGACTCGTGGTATAAGCACGACGTGATCATACAAACACTAGTTTTGTTAGTGTCACTTATTATTATGTTGGCCGAATTCATAAACCTCCAGCGTCGAGGCTCGTAAATTATCCGTGGAGTATTTTGTTTGGGAAATTCCTACTATGCTAAAAATAGATACGGGAAGAAGCTGACGTCATTGACTGTCATTCGGCTCGTACTTTGAAGACGAAACAGAAGGTCATGATGTACGGTAGAGGTGAGTAATCAGGTTATGAATTGGTAGGGTCCATCCGTGATCAATGGAGGTATTACGAATGTGAAATACTAACTATTGTTTAGACAAGGTATTTAATGTGTCCAGGTAGTCTTCATAAAGGATATATATTGTTGTTTATTGTTTGTTTATTCTTTAACGCAACGCTCAGTAATTTTCCAGATATATGACGGTGGTCTGTAAATAATGGATTCTGAATCAGACAATCCTGTGATCAGGAGCATGAGCATCAATCTACGCATTTGGGATACGATGACATGTGTCAAGCAGGTCAGCGATCCTGACCATCCGATCCCGTTGGTCACCTCTTACGACAAGAATGAGTTGTTGAAGACCAATTCTAACCCGGATCGTCACGGGTAGAGGATATATGTAATTTCAAATTTCGTTTCAAAGAACCAACGTCACACATGGAGTGACATGAACACGTTTATATTTTCATGACTGGTAGGAATTTGGAAGAAACATGAAGTCATGTGACAACAAAAGACATATCTTCTATTCACTTGATACATGGTCCAACTTGTCTTCACGATTTTGTTATGCAAACAACAGTTGTCGAGAGGACATAAAGCGATGCTTTCGAGTGTGTTAGACGTCATAGGCGTCGACAGGGTAGGTTCTTGACCTACCCTTGTTATAAATTCTCAGTTAAGTACTCGCACAAACAAATAAACCAACAATGTATATAACCAAGACGGATGTAAGGTAGATAACACGTTCACGGAGAATAACTTTGGTTTTCATGACTTAAAATTTGTATCTTGACTTACTATAGGGCAAAACTGAGACCTCATTCTAACTAGTCGTCAAAAGATGGTAGGTCTTGGTATCCAGTCAGGTACTCGACATTAGGGATGATTGGTTGGTTTGTTGTTTAACGCCGCGCTCAGAAATATTCTAGCTATACGGCGGCAGTCTGTAAATAATCGAGTCTTGACCAGACAATCCAGTGATCAACAGCATGAGCATCGATCTACACAATTGGGATACGATGATATGTGTCATCCAAGTCAGTGAGCCCGTTAGTCGCCTCTTACAACAAGCATGAGTTGCTGAAGATCAGTTCTAACCCGGATCTTCACGGGTCATATATCGTTACGGGATGATCAGTGACTTTTAACCCCATTTCACCTCACATCACCTGACTGATTATAACCTGATGTGTATTAGCCACGCCCCTTTGAGTCTCGTCATGGAGACGGGACTCTTTTAATCCAGGGATCCCAAACATTTATTTTGAATACACGACTCTGTTTTTGTTTATCGATATTTGTAGTTCTTCAACACGGCGCATCTTTCACCCGGAGTGGTGGGGTAGTCTAGTGGTTAAAGCGATCCCTCGTTGCTCCGAAGACCTGGGCTCGATTCCCCACAAGGGTACAATGTGTGAAGCCCATTTCTGGTGTGCCCGACCGTGATATTGCTCGAATATTGCTTAAAGTGGCGTAAAACCATACTCACTCACATATTAAATCTAATCCTTTCATTTTCCTATCCATCTAGAATCATCATTCGATAGGCTTTGAATTTCTGTAATCACAGGTTTTCTCGAATTATCTTACTTTTGAAGAGTGTATATGAATCATATGTTCAAAATAAGGTAGCACATGTGTAATGCTGTTGTTTATAATAATAAAACAATCTGACCACTAACCTTTATGTTCCAGAAACCAAAGGAAACAAGCAATCGGCCCCTCCTCCACGTCCACAACCACAACGACCACCTCCACGGCAGCCACCAGGTATGTGAACCATTCGTCACCACTCGCCCCTTTCCGTAACCTATTCGGCTTGTCCCGGAATAACACGAGTGGGTCACGAATGGTGTATATTTCAACATCAATAGTAGTGAGTGAGTGAGTTTAGCTTTACGCCGCACTCAGCAATATTCCAGCTATATGGTGGAAGTCTGTAAATAATCGAGCCTGGACCAGACAATCCAGTAATCAACATCATGAGCATCGATCAGCGCAATTGGGAACCAATGACATTTGTCAACCAAGTCAGCGAGCCTGACCACCCGATGGGTTACTGAAGGTTCATTCTAACCCGGACATTCATGGATCTGAACATCAATAGTAAACAGCAATGACAGCTGTCATATTTTCTAAATCTATGTACAATCGAAAAGCATTACATCTGTTACAGGGAATGTGTGAAACCAGGGATTTGTACAGACCTTCAAACTGTAATGCAACTGAGTTAAGAAAACATAGCAAAATGCTTCGCGCGTATGAGGGAAGACTGGTCATTTTGCTCTGTTGCGCAACTCATTTGCATTACACTTTGTTTATTATACATTACAGAGTACAGACAAATACAGGGCCGTGAATAACTCATTAACCGTTATTAATTGTTTTGTCTGATGTGACAAGTGTTTACATGTTATGTAATATGCGCTTGGAAGTGCAGCAAGAGGAATCATCAGATGGGTTTAAAACAAGTCGATCAAAGGATTAACCGATAACACACTGATTGATGAATGTATTGTGTCGTAGAGGGCCTGTGTAACAACAACGTCCTTCCTTCAAATATATGTATTTTGTTATTATTAATATTTTGTAGCATTCAGCAGAATCATTCCACTTCATTTTTTTAGCTGTTTTGTTTCGATGAGACAGACAACATACACTAGGTCGCACTTAGTTCATGTGTGTCAAATATGATCCACGTTGGCAATGTATAAAATGTCAAGGTATTACAGTCCTTTTATATTCATTAGAACAGATTGTTTACTTTTCATGCAGTTTAAAAAATGCATAAAAATATAATGATAAATACATTAGGATTATAAGACAAAACTATAAAGACATTCATTGACTTAGTTCTTTTTCAGTCCTAACATTTTGTGTCACTGGCATATAAACGTCGAATTGTGTTTATTTGTTACCATAATAATGAAGATGAAAATATTTTTAATGAATAAAACAGATTTCATCTTTGTTGATCAATGTAGGATATATACTATCAATTGCGCTTGCATGTTGTGCAACAGAGATTCCACCCAATCAAGAATTCGGGGTCTTCTCGTTTATCCACCACCTATTGTTCTAGGTGGACAAGTCACTGAAGCGGAATAATCCTCAAGACAATAGATGTCCCTGAAATTTTGTTCCCTGTGAAATAAGATCCCCCCTTGAATGTAGTAGTAAAAAAGTAAGTCTTTCTACATTTTTTTTTTATTTCAACAATACATACAATATCAAAATTAACAATACATTCAATATCTATGACAATCCTCAATAGCCTGTTAAATGGGATACTGCATCCCAATATGCATATACATCCATATGGCCAGCCAAGAATTGCTGTTTGATGTTACATAATCTGTTTGTTAAATTGACATATTTAACTTTCTTGCGAGGAGGTTTGGCACCTCCTCTTAATTGCATACATGATGCCTCTACGTAAGATTGTTCTTTATTCAAGAATTCAATAATCTTGAAGATATTGCTGGTCTCTGTAGGACGTGAGAATATTATCTTTGGTGTTAACCGTGGCATGGCAGTTCTTCTGGGCGCAGTTCCAATGGACAGATGTTCCTCGTCTTCTTTTTAACTACAAACTTGTAATTTTGGAACACTAAGTACTGACCACCTCTACCATTAGGAATAAACTGGACATTAACCTGTTGGTTAGCCATCGTGACTGACCTTAAAGAACCTCATGTACCATTTTATAATCGTGTAATAGTGAAAAGTGTTCACTGAATTAAAAAAACACAAATAGCATAATCGACACAATTTAATTAAAGTTCACGAACACTGTTCACTGTAACAGGGCAAATCAGCTAATTAGTGTCACCCACCAGGACCAAATTTCAGAGTGAGCAGTGTAATCACTAACCCGTGTCAACTAATCCCATCTAATCCCTTGTCAAAACTAAAGGGTGGTGGATAAGTGAGAATGAACCAAGAATTCTGGGATATCATCTGGGTAATTGCAGGGGAAACCCAATAACAAAAGCAACAACTATTCCCGGAGAATAGCTCTGGATCAGTGTCCATTTAAGCTACAAACATTAATTTCAAACATTCACTGATATCATAACAGGGAATGTGTGTAATGGAACAATATGACATCAGTAATTTCATGAAATCCCTTGAAATATTAGGGAATATGTGAAATCCCTTGGGGTCACAGGGGATTTCATGAAATCACTGACTCTTTCAGGGATTACGTGAAATCCCTGGTTTCATACATTCCCTGTAACATATCGAAGTTGAAGGGACTCACGTAAATACTTCCAGTATCTGAAGTACGACATTTCCTCATTATGATGACTTAATAATGAATACGCAGGACCAAGTTTTAACTTCGCCACAGCCGCTAGTTCGACACAACCGATGTATGACTGTATGTGATGGTATTTTATTTCGATTTTTAGCGCCACGTTTGAAAACTGCTGCACCTAGCGGAGGCGGTGGAGGCGGCGGCTCCTCGAAGACATCATCGTCTTAGCATTGTAAATGTCAAAGCTTCAACGCACCACCCAGATGCATCCGATCTCAATATGCTGACCAAACCAATAAGAGTTGATGTGTTATCATTGACTCAGTGACCAGATTTTAACCAGCATGTCAGGATGTGTTTTGCTTAAAGCATCATAATAAAACTGAATTTTAATTCATATGTTCGTTTTATGTTTGTTATATCAAGACTCATAACTGAACAGACCCGTGAAAGTCCGGGATAGAATGAGCCTTCAGTAACCCATGCTTGTCTCCCCGTGACGGTCCGGGATAGAATGAGCCTTCAGTAACCCATGCTTGTCTCCCCGTGAAGTTCCGGGTTAGAATGAGCCTTCAGCAAGCCATGCTTGTCTCCCCGTGAAGGTCCGGGTTAGAATGAGCCTTCAGCAACCTATGCTTGTCGTGAGAGGCGACTAACGGGATCGGGCGGTCAGGCTCGCTGACATATGTCATCAGTTCCCAAATGCGCAGATCGATGCTCATGCTGTTGATCACTGGATTGTCAGGTCCAGACTCGATTATTTACAGACCGCCGCCATATAGCTGGAATATTGCTGAGTGCGGCGTAAAACTAAACTCATTCACTCACTCAAACCTGAACATAAGGCTGTTGCTGCAGTCGATAGTCAGGGAGTGAGTATTTTTGGTTCCAAGCCCATTTAAACACATTTTTCGGCTTAACATTTACTGCAAAAATAAAGTGGCTGAAAACCTGGGTTCGATTCCCCATATGGGTACAATGTGTCAAGCCCATTTGTTTCCCCCTGCCGCGATATTGCTGAAAGCGGCGTAAAAATGAACTCACTAACTCACTCAACCAAATCAGCGAGCCTGACCTTCCGATCTCTCTTAAAACTAGCATGGGTTGCTGAAGACAAATTCTAACCCGGACCTTCACGGGCCATTTTCCTTTTCACCACTACAAAAATGAAACATACAAATAGCTTGTGCTGTATTACAATCGAGTTGAACCTGGGATTCGAACTCAGCATCAGCGGATCTTATGTTCAGAATTCATCCTCAGCGTCATTACAGCCTTTAATTATATTTGGGAATGTAAATTCACCCCAGGGACATAGTACCCGTGAAGATCCGGGTTAGAATTGGTCTTTAGCAACCCATGCATGGAATATAGCTGCGGCTTCTAAACAACTTACCCCAACTATTTAGATCGATGCTTATGATATTGATCACTGAGTTTACTTGTCCAGACTCGATTATTTATAGACCGCAACCATATAGCTGGTATATTGCTGAGTGCGGCGTTAAACAACAAACAAACAATTACGTCGTGAAAAATAATATCTTGCCAAACGATGAACCAACATGACCCTGAACCTAAGCGAGAGACAGCTTGCGTCGATTCAGTACAACCCTGAAGCCTTTTTCCAAGAAAACCAAGATTCGGGGGAATAGCAGGAAATACCCAGCGTGCTAAAAATAGTTCCACGTGTCACAGCTGTCATCTGCCAGGGGCTCGGCTTATATCGGCTGCTATCGACAAGGTTGAGCTGATTGTCACGATGTCTGGTAAAGGTAGGTGTGAGATTATGATCTATCTCGGCGTTTTCAGTTTCTGTACCTAATACTACTGCCTTGTACTACATTGTGTAAACTGCCATAAGAACGTTTAGTATTTGTTCTTAAAAGTATTGAATTGTGTCAATCTATTTCAGCAGCATCATCAGCCCCAGCGTTTTAAATGAATCATTGCAACAACCGTTTACATCATACTTGTAGAAGCCGTAAAACAACCCAACTGTAACAAACAATTCACAGCGCTTGTTCAGTTTGCCGAGGGATATGTATATGGGAACTACCGTACGAACTCTATAAGACGCCAGCAGTAATTAATTTCTCGTTGAATTACTGCTGCCGTCTCTTAGAGGTGGTACGAAAGTAATATCTTTCACTATAGTGAATCCGAAATTCATATAATCTCAGATTTCTACAATCATACAAGCATTTCTACACAACCGTACATTTACAAAACAAAGGACATTAGCAATGACGAACATATATGACAGAATCAAATTTGTTGGTTTGATGTTTAACGCCGCACTCAGCAATATTCCGGTAAAATGGCGGCGGCCTGTAAATAATCGAGTCTGAACCAGACAATCCAGTGATCAAAATCATGAGGATCGATATATATAGTTGGTATACAATGACATATGTCACCCGATCCCGTTAGTCGCCTTTTACGGCAAGCATGGGTTGCTGGAGACCAATTCTAACCTGGATCGTCACGGGTCAGAATTTAATAGGAAATAATCCATTTCAGCAGGACGACCAGTACTGGGTGAATATTTACAACAAATGACACTTGTTTTCATCAAATACGTGGAACAGTAAAACAATAACTGTAATATATAAAATGCTTCACACTTGTTCGATTTGCCCTTTGGGTAAATGAATAAGACATACCGTACATCATCTAATGGATACCGGTGATAGTTCATTTCGCGTGGCTTGGCGTCTAATATGTAGTTAAACACATTACATTAATAGGGAAATTGTTTTCCTCGGACATGCATTAATTTCATCAAATATTGATAAACTCGGCCTCAGATAGAAGTGGGCTACCACTTTAGGACCCGGAGTGTAATGAATAGCGTGCGCCTGATTTAGAAAATACGGTACACGAATTGTCAATCTGGGTTTTTCACGTTAGGTGAGGTCAGGTGAACTTGGGTTTAACGTCGTGCTTGAGAATATTTCGCTCATATGACGACGTGCATGCGTGTGTATTTGTATGTGCGGCTGCTTGTACTAGCCCAGACTGAAGCTGGTTTTATAGTGCTAGCCCACTGAGATACCATGCCGCAGTGAAGCATGAATACCCCACTCAGACACATTATACTGACTCCGAGCCGACCAGTCCTTGTTGTACCCATTAATGCCGAGCGCCAGGCAGGGACCAACAAGTACCATATTTTAACGTCTTTTGGTATGACGCGGTCGGGGATCGAACTCCCCGACCTTCCGCTCCGGGTTTCACGTTAAGGTGACCTTTTAGTTTTAGATGTTCGCAGGTAGGCTAATCTCGGTACACTTCGAATTTACCTGTTGTTTTACTTGTTTTTAGGATTAGGCTTTGGGGTTGGTGTGTAATATTTAACTGCGCATGCGCTCCAGAGAACTGATTATTGACTATCCGCCACCTTACTTGAATCTTTGTGATGAAAAGTTGACAATTTAAAAAAATTCAACTTTAATGATGAAATAAAAATAAAACGCAAATAGTTGGTAAAACACTCATTCATATATATTACAATGTAGAATGTGCTGAAATAATATGCACCCCATTCGAGATTTCTCCCTACAGCCCGAGAGCTGCAGTTAGTTGGGTCATGACGTTTCATTTACAATGTACACAGTCTACAAGATATAGGCTAGAGAGGTGTATTGTGTTGGAAATGCACCAGAAAACACTGACAGTGAACCGGGAGCACTGTGGGCGACTTCAAACGCCGGAGGAGCAAGCCATGCATGTCAATTTTTTCTTGATATTTATAAACTAGACTGACGTACGAAGGAATGTACACCACAAGTTGCACCCAGTTTAGCAACCTGTGTACAGACAGTGTCTATGGCTTCTAACACAAAGTCAAAACGCTTTTCAAAATATTTACTTCGTTTCTTTAAAAATAATCCCCAAACATCAGCCTTTAATTGTTAACACTCGTGCGCCTGTAATGGTTTAAGTCAGTTGACATTTAGCCACCAGTGTAGGGTGTTGTTACACCCCATTAAAAATCGCCTTTGTGCAAATAAACCTTATTTAAAGAATGGATTTTACTAGAAACTGACCTGTTGAATTTATGAAGGATAATTGTATCTTCTTCATAGCTATCATTTTTCTCTCATCGAGTGACCTCTTAAAGTTGATAAAGGTGACAAGTTGGGCTAACCATGCAATTAGAAACGAAAAGACAAATTTCAAATTTTATCATGCTGTATTTTACTGATCTTCATTGTTTTACTATGAAAACTAGAGTGAGTGAGTTGTTTTACACCGCATTTAGCAATATTCCAGCAATATCATGGTGGGGGCCACCTGAAATGGGAAAACTAGAGTGTCATAGAGGCTTTGATAGTAGTGCGAGGTATTTAGTTCAAGTGTAGCCTGATATAATGTACCTGGCGTCAGCAGGCGGGGGGTTCTTGGCCTTCATAAATTCACTGCTAGGTACTCGAACAGACACATAAACCAGGCGCTGACCTGAACAACACACATACGACAAATCAAACGAGTAAAGATGATCTACTTACCCTGTGTGATTCATAACACCAGACGCTGCCTGTATTATGAGCCTATGACCTTTTACTAAATAAACGGGGCGGTGGGGTAGCCTAGTGGTTAAAGCGTCCGCTCGTCACGCCGAAGACCCGGGTTCGATTCCCCACATGGGTGCAATGTGTGTAGCCCATGTTTGGTACCCCAAGTCATGATATTGCTAAAAGCGGCGTAAAACCATACTCACTCACTACTAAATAAACTGTATTGCTTTCTTTGATCACTTGCTTTACAAATCTCTTACAGAAGACGGGCAACATAAGACAAAGTCTGTATTGTCAGGAGATGAGATTCGTTGTCGAAATAGAGAAATCACTCGAAACTGTTGATTCCCGACACAGAATAAACGACATCCAAAGGGACGAGTTAATTCTCCTTCCGGAATTACCGGAAGCGAGACTTTTATCTGACATAAACAATGTTGTGTTTCTTATATAATTTATTCATAACATCAAATAATTATGCATCAATTTTCATTAGTTCGAAGAGTATCTTCTACATGGATACTGAATCCCTGGCTCAGAATCAACCACAAGAACGTCATCGTGACGTCATCAATGATGTAAAACAAACGAAAAGCTATCCAGTTTTTTTTCAGTTCTAATGAGGTTAGTGAGTGAGTTGGGTTTTACATCCCTTTTAGCAACATTCCAGCAACGTCAGGGCAGGTTACACCAGGAACGGGCTTCACACATTATACCCAACTGGGGAATAGAACCCTGGTCTTCCAACGCTTTAACCACAAGGCTAATGCGTAGTGGTGTGACGATTCATCGATACGCATCGATACGCATCGATCCATTGGGCGCCGATATAGTGATCGATACAAAGGTTTACATTGTCGTATATCCCGATACGATACTTCAAATGGGCCACGATACATCGATGTTTTACTTTGAATATTGCCGAATCCCGATATCTGTCAAGAAAGACTTACTTTTGTCTGATGATTAAATTATATGCATACTTATTTTCCCTTCAAATCATAAGTTTTTAGGAAATTATTGCACCAGGAACTGTGTCAAACATAGCGCTCACATTACATTAACATTCACAAAGTCCGTGCATAAACGTAATTATCTCATTTCCGAATTAACATTGAAAAACGCTGGCGGAATTTTACCAAATGCTTTAAAGTGGTTTTGTTTTGATCTTACGGTGTTTTATAGTTGGTGTTAGAATGAAAGTTTTTGGTATCGTGATACGTATCGTATCGCCACCCTTATATTTGGATTCGTGTCGTATCGCAGCTTCAGTGCACAATGCTTTGGCAATATATCGTATTGACTACAATTTTAGTATTGTGATGTATTGTATCGCAGGTTGTATGCCAATACCAGCACTAGTGGTAATGCGTAGCCCCCTAATGCGGTTAGAAGTCCGAGTGTCATGAGAGTTTCTCTATAATTAAATCGGCAGTTTGCGAAGTACTTAGTAGTATATGTTATCAAAATGCGATTTCTCGATAAACAAGATATAGGCATGTGCTCAAAATGTATATTTCTGAGCATGTCTTCTATTATAATTACGCGTCCTTGGAGTCATTATATTTTCTGTAAAAACAAAATAATTTGATCGCTGTCCTTGTGTTTCAGAAAGCAAATAGGGACAGTATAAACTGACGAACAGAACAACGTACACGTACACAATGTTGGTGTAAGTCGCAATGAGTATATTTTTCAGAATATTTACACCTTTTTTGTTTGAGAAAATATTCCCAAAGCACAGATGTGCACTTTCTTTTGTGCTTCAGTATATTTTCATCCGGCATGAGCAACTTATGAACCGTGCATTCCATTATTCTCTGTTACAGGACAATATGTGCCCATTGGAAACAAGGGATCGGCCCCTCCTCCCCGACCACCTCCACAGCAGCCACCCCCACGGCAACCCCCGGGTATGTGAATATTCCATCGGGAAATATGCCATTCAGAGAGTATGTAAGACCATGTCATTTAACGTGTATACATGTATGTATCTGTTATGTCTCACAGTCCTTGACTTCTTCAGGTTCTGTTATCTCACTGTTGCTCGTTTTCAAATTACCCGGCCGCGTCATACCAAAAGACGTTAAAATATGGTACTTGTTGGTCCCTGCCTGGCGCTCGGCCTTAATGGGTACAACAAGGACTGGTCGGCTCGGAGTCAGTATAATGTGTCTGAGTGGGGTATTCATGCTTCACTGCAGCGTGGTATCTCAGTAGGCTAGCACTATAAAACCTGCTTAAGTCTGGGCTAGTACAAGCAGCCGCACATACACATACACACGCATGCACGTCGTCATATGAGCGAAATATTCTCAAGCACGACGTTAAACCCAATTTCACCTCACCTTTTCAAATTAAATGGGATCATTATTTATAACTGTCAAAATTTTAACATTCAGAGACTGAGATTTAGTCTATTATACATCTAGCATTGTTTCAGTAGATTATGTGTTCTTTTAGTGTTTGTCAAAATTTCTGAGAATCGGCCAAACATGAGGTAAAGGTGTAAATCCAGCTGGGTAGCGAAGGTCTTGTCAGTCCTGATGGTCCCTGGTGTGGTGATCTTCCTTCCGTTGCTAGCGATCTATAGCTGTTTTAATATTGTATCTTTCTGCATAGTGATATCATTTTATGATATCATGCTAGTTTAAAGTCAAAATCTGTTTGTGTTACTCTCCCTTGACGACAGGTTTTTATTGTCTAAATGTCCCTCTTATTAAAATAAATTGTTCTCTTCACGTTGTGGGGAAATGGCAACTGAAGTAATGATGCCGGATGAAAATATACTGACGCACAAAAGAAAGTACACACCTGGTGCTTTGGAAATATGTTCTCAAACAAAAAGGTGTAAATGCGACGTTATAAGTTTTATTTTAGTAATGGAGTGTCACAATTTGCCTCGAAGGAGTATCTTATATCTCTACAAATGAAGTTTTTCCAAGGATGTTAAAAACCGTATGTTCTATTTTTCAGCACCTCGACTGATACGCGCAACACACACAACAAGCGGGGGCGGCTTTCCGAAGTCTCACTCGGCATAGCACATTCCGTTCGTCACCACTCGCCTCTTTCCGTAATCTCCAAGAGCTGGTCCCGGAATAACACGAATTGGTCACGAATGGATATGGCAGTATTACAACGTAAAATGGCCTTGCGGACATACAATCTCGTTATGTTGGCATAAGAATTTACTGACTGATAGGCGTTATCTTTGAACAGGTCCTGGCAATGATTAAAATATAGATGTGGAAACTTACTTTGCTGAAAGTATTAAGTTAATGAAGATTGAATTACATATGTCTTTTGTTTGTGTTTGTTTGCTGTTTAACGCCGCGATATTCCAGTTATATGAATAATATATTCTGAACCAGTGATCGACATCATGAGCATCGATCTACGCAATTGGGATAAGATGACATGCTCCATCCAAGTCAGGAAGCCTGACCACACGATCCTGTTAGACGCCTCTTACGACAAGCATGGGTTGCTGAAGATCAATTCTCACTCGGATCTTCACGAGTCTATGGTCGTTTCAGCAGGAAATTACGTATGGATGAATGACCATTTTATGCCGTATCCTCATTGATGTGCTGCATCAGAATCCAGTCGATCCTAGGATTCGAACTCTTTATCAGAAGATGTTATCATGAAGACGCCCTCTATGCATTTGTCGTAAACAAAATTTTGTGAATCTAAATTTTGATTACGGAAATGAAAATGCGTGTCGAATTTATTTGTTTATGCGTAGCAATTGTTTTATTTGAATAATAATAACGCATATTCTTCCATGAACCTGGAAAATATTCGATTATGATCGGTTAATCAGATGTAGAAAATCACAATAACCATAAATGTAGTTTTGACGACTACAACAACCCGGACACTTCCAAACTTTGTTTGTTTGTTTGTTGGTTAAAGCCGCACTATGTTCCAGGTGGATGACAGCGGTCTGTAAACAATCGAGCCTGGAACAGACAATCCAGTGATAGATATCATGAGCGTCGATCTATAGACAATTGGTGTACAATGCAATTTACACGCATCAGACAAGTCGGCGATCCTGACCACACGATTCGCCTCTTACAAACCTTGGATGCTGAAGACCAATTCTAACATGATCTTTACGGCCACCTAAAACGGACACTAATATCAATCGTTATAATTAGGCATGTATAACATCATATGTAGAAATATTTGTGACAGAACGTTTTGGAACTGTGACTTTGAAAATTTGACAGTATTTCAACCAATCTTTGAATTTGGCACTTTTCTTTATCAGACTGTGACGTCTTATAAACACCGGGGGAACAAGCTTCGGGTATGATGCTACACTTGGACAGCCAGGTCGTGTCTAGGGTGTGATTCATGTTTGGCCTTTATGCGACTAAAAGGTACTAGCTCAAGCAACGTTACACCGGGCGTTCTTTATTAGCTTTTCCTTAACACAAGGAGTGATATTGTTTATTGTCTAATTTTTATAAGTATGGTAAAATACCATACCACTGGTAAAGATAAACAAGAAGACAAAGTCATCAATATCCCCCGCAATGGCAAAATACTCTTCATATATGTCTACGAGTTTTGATTATGTCAAATGTTTGGCGTGTATATAGCTAAGTGGAAGGAGAGTACTGAAAGGTTTCAAAGTTCTGCTCCAGAAAGGAGCACTACCACCAAATGCAGTTGAAGTCAAACTTGTTGCCATGGAAACGGAAAAAACTATTTTATTCAGAAATCCAAAAATACCAAAGGGCAGCAGTAGACCACCAGATATATCTATGTGCCTGGTTTGGTGAAGAAACATTGAATGGTTTTAGAGTTAAGCTCCAGAAAAGAGTACTACCACCAATTTCAGTCTAAGTCAAACTTGTTGCCATGGAAACGCAAAAAATGTTTGATTCAGAAATCAAAACTACCAAAAGGCACCAGTTCACCACCAGATCTATCTATGTGCCTGGTTTGGTGAAGAATCATAGAATGGTGTTAGAGTTATGCTCCGGAAATGACAAATGTGCACGGACGGACGGACGCACGGACGGAGTCCATTTTAATACCCCCGCAAAACGCGTTGCGGGGGATAATGACAACGGTGGGAGGGAATTGGTTGGAAGGAAAGTGAACAGAATCCTGATTCAAAATACTTGACAGACAAGTACTACCCTGATTATTTCGTTGGGGTAGCCTCGTGGTTGAAGAGTTCGCTCGTTACGCTGAAGACCCGGGTTAAAGTCACTCACTCACTCACAACTCCGATTAACGTTGTTTCGCTGTATGACAAAGACTTATCCAGATGGCTGTATCACGCCGACCCCTGAAGATCAGATTAAACATCAAATCATCATCAACATTATCATCATCATTATGTGAAGGTCTGGGTTAGAACTTGTCAGCCCGTCTTGTCCAGACTCACTTATTTACAGGTTGCCGCCATGCGCCAGAGATGTTGCGTACTGCTTGTATTTGTATTATTTGATAAAGTTGTATTGGTCGTATTTCTAATAACTTCATGAATACACGGTGTGGCCACAACGGTCATTTGCTCATCACATATGTATTAAGATGTGTTCTTTTTATCGTAAATGTACGCGAATGTCGTTAATCGTGTAAATTACAAGGTGTCTCCTCCCATTACGCAGACAGACAGTTCGCAGACACCTTAAAACAACAACATTTACGGTTCAGTGAACAGATTATCTACTACCTGTTACCTACACATTATAATAGAATAGTCCAAATAAAAACACAGGAACAAACTGAAGCTATATTATTTATTTTGAAAGATGGACGAAAAGACAGTAATTTGAATTTTTATTGCGGCAATATAAAAACAGTTTATTTTCATAAACATTTCGGTTTAACCTTCTAGTCTAACAGGAGTCGGCATCATCATATTGAAAACATTAGCTTAGCTATTAAAAATTTGCGACACTGTTGTATCATATAAATCAAATATAGACAAATGTGAACCTAAATATTATTCATGTGGAATATAGAAGTTATATATGTTTTGCACACAATATTAAGATATATGACGAGTGTACTTAATTACGATTTATTTAGAATAAATATTTAAAATATGACGCATCATGTCAATGTGGCCATGGGTGTGAGAATGTTTTATATTACTTCCTTGAATGCCGGTTGTATACTACTCAAAGACATAAACTGTTACAATCTTTAGAAAGGATTGTTGAAATTAGAACACCGATTGGTATTAATCGTATCTTACATAGCAATGCAGGTGTCTCATTTACTGCAAATCAGAATGTTTTCAAATATGTACATATCTATATCTCTCCAACAAAACGTTTTCTCAGTTAACGTCTGTTGTACATATGCTATTATTGGGATGGGTCTTTTTCTATCAATAAACACAATCAAAACTCTCAGTGACAAACCTGTTTTTACATTCGATAGTAATTGATAGTAAAATAAATATTTAGAAGAGAAATCATTTATCATTTAATCAAACAAAGTTCTATTTACACACAATCAAACTTCTCAGTAACGAACCTGTTTTAGGCTCACCCTGCTCTACTCACTAGACAGTGGACTGTTCCATTATACTCGTAGGTGTTACATGTATGCATATACAACTGTACATGCACACATACCTACCTACCTACCTACACACATACATACAGACATCCATACGTACATTACATAATCAAAGTTGGAAAACCTACTCAAAATGTTGAATTGAAACATACACACACAGTCACTCTCTCAATCTCGCTCTTTTATACATCCAGCCAATCCCTCCCTCGATCCGTCCGACCCTCCACGCACGCACACTTGCTCGTTATCAAGAACGTTCCCATGTGAAGAAAAGGACCACGTGGATTCCTGCATGGGCCTATATTATTGAAGCTCTCTTAGCGCTAAGATAGTCGTAAGTGCCATACATTAACGTTAACTTACGACGATCTTAGCGCTAAGACAGCTTCGAAAATCTAGGCCCTGGAGAATTGAGAACTTGCGAGAAGTCAGCTACATGCTTTCCCTTTTCCATGAGTGACAATATACCTGTTGAGAAAAGAGGCAGGAATACCCGGATATATCACTCAGTCACACGAGACGCTTCGCCACATCTTACAAAGTCCAGTCAAGATCTTGCACGTGTTTCATCTGTTTCATTTTTGATGAGTCATCACAAAATCTAAATACACATCTGTAATAAAATGATTTACTTTCATTAAGAGATCAACCGAAAACGTGAAACACAATTTCCATTAGCGTCGCTAACGTATATTTATATCGGTAACAAGTACGGTTCAACATGCTGTGATAGAAGCCATGTGGAGAGTTAGCGACCGATACAGCCGCTTGTACTGTCCAACCAACAAGGAGAGTGGGGAGCGTGCCGTGAACTGATCCACTACCTACTCGAAGGGGGAACAGGTATGAAAACTTCGCGCGCGTGATTTTGTGATCCTTGCAGTAATCACTTTCTACGCAATGATTCGGAAGCGTCGTGTTTCTGCTTGGGCATTTGTATAATAGTATCTTGTAAAGTGGGCTGTTAAAAGAGTATTAAACTCTGCAGATATTTGAAACTTATCATGTCGCACTCTAAATTGGGTAAACGTATTATCCATAAAATATTCACACATACAGAACCTAGGCTAGGACAGAAATTAACCGTTTGGTATTTTTTTATCGTTAAACACATGAAACATTCGAGTGTTGTATTTGGTTGTGTATGGAAATGGTCAACCGCAAAATAGCATGCAAAATAGTATTTGCAAATAGAACCCGTTCCAGTAGAGCGAGAGTAGACTGACAGGCTTCACAGCAGTTTATCGCTTTAAATACCCTCGGCCCCTTAATGGTAAAATGGACTGCACCGCTATTCAGATTCACGGGTTCAAATGACAGGTCGTCTCACTGCAAAACAATATGAAGAACACACTAAAAAGCTTGCATTAGGCCGATCTTTTTTATGTCAATCCTATTCGCCTGACGCAGTGGTGTTTTGCTGCGAGGTCAGTAAATACGGAGAGTGGAAAATACCCAGGCTTGTTCCCGGGCCCGCTTGGATGGGAAATACCAACACGCTAAAAATAGATTCACGCAATGACACCGACGACATCGCCTGGAGCTCGGTTTTCATTCGACTCAGATCGGGAAGGCTGAACTGAACGCGAGAATGTCTGGGAAAGGTAGGTGGTGACAATATGATCTCGTGAATATATGTAACAGAGAGCCAATATAATACATCCCCGGCTTTGTATTATATTGCGTATACTCAAAGGAGTATTTAAGAAATTGATTTGGTATTCTCCGAAATAACAT